AAGCACTGAAGCCGAAGGAATACAACGCTATTGTAGCGATAGATTCATTCCGAGTTATTATTATTAATCAACCTGAATAAAATGTTCATTGCTTGTACGTGTATAGAGTTATAAAATAATTTAATTATAACAACGCTCGTACTTGAGCAAGTATACGATAAGTGTGTCATACAAGTATACGATATCTGTGTCACACAAGAACAATGTTAAAATGGTCAAGTAGGAATCAGTTGTCTAAACATGACTCCGACGGAAGTTTGTGGCGTCTCCGGAACAACGAAAGACTATTCAATGTTATGACGCTTTTAATGCTAAATGCTTGTATAACATCTTGACACATGTTTATTATACATATTGAAATAGATTATATTTAAAAAGGTTTAAGAATACACAAAATATATATTTTTTCTCAATTGATTTAATACTCTATGTCTTAAAACGAATATCATGAAAAAAATATTTCGATCAGTCAACGCATGGCTTTTATAAGCGCAACCTATCATTTGAAATCAATGAAAAACTATAATATTTTACAATCAACTCTTTTGTTTAAGTTTTTTAATATTCCTGTCTACAATGAATCAAATGAATCGAAATGAATGGAACCTTGATTCGTAGAATATATGTAAAACTCAACAAAATATTCTTGGAAATAATAATGATATATTAACAATGCACGATTCATTATGTTAAGACGTAACTTAAATTGAGAAAATTATAAATAAAAGTATCAATTCCACATAAAACACGTTTTTTATAACAAAAAAGAGTTGTTTTAGAATATTTTATACTCGTAAGCTAGGAATCATAATTTGATGTCGTCTATTTGTTATTTAACTAAAGTAAGTCAAAAAGGAATTTCAGGACAGCAAAAACATTAAAGGAGTCCATAGTTAACAATTAGAGTAACAGTAAGTTTCAGTCAGGCAGTAAAAATAAATTATCCATTTCAAAGAATTTATCTCGTTATCGATAATTTTATTTGTCGATAACGAGGTTTTCCCTTGAGTATCTTTAAGAAATTTCAATATTAACAAATATTTCGTAAATTCATAAAAATACATTTTTTAAATTAATATGTAGTGACACTGACAATAACAGCAAAAAAACTTACGTGTCTACTACGTTTTATTTGTGGAAATAAGAATTGCAGTGCATCATATAAAAGAAAAGAGGACGTGATGGAAAAAACAACTATTACAACACTCCTAAAGAATGTGTTGAGTAATTATGTAAAATGTTAAAAATATCTCTTGCACGGATCCATGTTGAAAAATATTTAGTTTACACTCGCAGCCTGCATGTAGGGCAACAAAGTGCTGTGCAATTTTCGGAGCCGTATTTTAAAACAAAATGTTGGACAAACGTATATTTACAGAAAATTTAAATAAACAGAATATATGTATACAAAGACAAATATGTATGTATACTTCAGTATATGAAAATATACACGATACGCAAATGGTTTTCCTCTACATCAATATCTATGAACATTAACTTGAATAAAATTATCAATTTCAGGTTAACATTACACAAGTCTTGTAATAAAGTCAAATTTATATCAACGCCTAGTCTTGGTAATAAAGCAGTCTGTAAATCGAGTTATTGCTAAGAGGAAATTGCAGGCACTTTGATTTCTTTTGATCGACTTCTTTGAAGGTTGTCCTCGTATTATATTTAAAGCTTTAAAATTTAATGGACCTTAAAATATATAAATAGAAATCAAACGCTGTTCTCATTTTCATTTATATGAGATATGCATTTTTTTTATTTTATCTGATGCTTTTCAAACTAAAGGCTGTAGAGGCACTAAATTCTGTAGGCAGAGGCGGAGAGAAATTCTAATTAGCAGTAATGAAACGCTCGCTCACCTGTAACTACACTGTGGCTTGATTAATTAATATAATGTTAAACGTTTTAGGAGGTTAACAGGACATTGGCTTGAGTGACCTGGTAATGCTATTACAGCACCAAGTTGCCTCTTGACTGGAGCAATTTTGGCACAGAAATTATTACGACTGTTCCTGAAGCTCATTAAAACTTCGAAAAAGGCTAAAGCTGCCTCCATACGCGTTCTGAGTTTTGAATGCTACAGTCTGGCAAAAATCCAAATAACAAAACAAGCTATGACCATGAGTTACGTTGCAATATAATTAATATTATATTAACATGTAGTTAATTTGATTATAGTGGGGCAATCTTTATTATAAACTTGAAATCTTGCTAGTTATAAAGCACTAGTTTAGAAAGGACAGATTTTTTTGCATAAATGTATCCTAATTGACTTCACTTAGTTTATAGTCTGGTTCATAATATTAAGTTGAACGTTTGACTCGAGCGTGTTTTAATGTGGTCGTTTTTAAACTTAAGGATGCCATTCAGTGTCGCATTTCGCTTGGGGATGTCAATGAATGGATGAGTGGGGTCTGCGATTCCTATTGAAGCGTGTATCCTGGCTGGTAAAAAATTTCATCTCGCGTGACTCGCTACCCTAATGCGGGATTCATAACATGACGTCATATTTGTTTGTAAAAGATAATACGTTTTGTGTGAATATGAAACACGCTTTACTTAATATTTTTGTATTTTGACAATGAAAATATATATTATGATACTCTATTCAAAATAAATGACGGCAACTAATTTTCAAATCGCAAACTCGTTTATGATACATATAACATGTTAAAAATATTAATCAAAACATTTTATCAAACATAAATCCTTGACATTTTTGTAATTCCATACATTTTAGAACACAAAAAGTGCAAAAAAGTTGAAGCCAGACGCGGAAACAAATTGTCTGAACTAAGTTTTTGTACCGAACAGCTCTGGGAAGAGAAATCGATACAATCTGATAGGAATATTGTTTCCGGTGTAATACGAATCGATTTTTGATTATTGCTATAAAATATTTCAAAACAAAATGTATTTTGATATAAAATATATAGATTAAGGAATATAAAGAAAAGTGGAAGCCATACACATGAACATGGTAATCAGTTTTTTTGTTAAATTTTGCAAACAATAAGTAAAGAACATTATAGCAGCATTAACATAGTCAAAAATTTATTTGCAACAATTTTTCATATCATAATGTCTTAAACTATGTTCATATATATATTCTATTATAATAGAAGCGTACTTTTAACTTCTTTTCGCCTATTATTCTGTTAGAATCAATCTAAATATGCTGAAAAATTTTTCCTATTTACGGAGGAATAAGTAATATCGTACTTACATCAACCAGTTTGAATAATAGTGACACAGCTTCTACACTATATTGCGCTATAGAGATTTTACTAGAACCCAGTCTAGACCGAGCAATAATCTTGAGTACACTACAATATATCTTGCTTAAGTAAAATTTACCAGATAACTTCACCACTGATCGGGTACATTGCAATAGTGTGGAAACTCATCACAGAATAACAAAAACCATTAAAACTATCTGTCTGTGATGGGGCTAGGAATATATGTAATTTTAAATTGAAGTGCGTAATAAAATTTCAGGTGGTTCATGAACTAATTGGACCTACAGCTGGAATACATAAAAGTTATTAGCGGTGTGTGTACGTAAAAGTATGTTACATGAGGGAGCTGTTAACCAAGTAACAGAATTATACTCCTACACGTATGTGGAAATTATACCCAAGGTTGCAACATTGCTTGAATATTAAGTAACTTAATTAAAAATTATAAAGATATGTCCATAATGGTTTTAGTATTATTTTATAAACAGACACATTTAAAGCGTATTTTTATTACGTCGCTTCAAATGTTTTCGTGCGTATATAACATGACGCATTACAGCTTGTTGCAGTACCTATAGGGGTGATAATAAGAGTGTAATCAGTACAGAGCCTACAACGCATCGGATCATTATCTAGCTTTTTATTATATATTCACATAATCGTGCATGTACTTCATGGAATGAACCCGTTTTAACCACTGCCACATGCCAAGTTTTTGACATTCTGTAGTTCTATTCAAGTATAAAAACTGTTTTCAATTTATTTTTATTAGAAAATACACACTCGTACAACATATACTTCTTAACATATTCAATATCTCAAGAAACGACATACCTCTAACTACATTTCCTTGACACTAATAAAATTATCGTTGCTTGAGCCTCAATAAATAACACGCCCTGATGCAATTTCAGTGCAAATGAATATACGGAAGAAAATTAATTAAGCGGCTAAAATATTTAAATTTCAAAAACATAAATTTCACACAGTAAAACAGCGAGCATTAAAAAAAATACATATTCATAGCTCTAAACTAAAACTAGAAAGCAAGAGAAAAGTAATAACAAAAAACATTACGAGAATATGGCACACGAACGAATGGACGAATGAAAGAATGAATGAATGGTAAAAACATACAGTGAACGATATAAGTATATAACATGGTTTTCGACAGACGGTAATGTTCCCATAGATTGTAAAGGCAATTTACTCGGTAGCAATGTGTCAGCGTGCTGGCACAGTAAATGGGCCACGATTTTATAGAAAGAGTACAACGCAACAGCTAATACGTTGTATAATGTGCACTTTTCCATTGTGTAGCATATGTACTAACGCTTTTAAGCTGGATTTGTTTCGTTCAAACAACCAACCTGCTGGTCTTAAATTTCATAAACCTGTGTGTAACAAATGCTGTCGAAGATACATATACATATATCATTTCGACTATTTTCAAGATTAAGTCGCACTCCGATCCTTTTTAAAGTACTAAATAGAGATACAACATAAACATATTATGTGTTATACAAATTTCAATAAATTTAACCCACTTCCATAAATTTAAATTGAATTGCACACATTGAATTAACAGTTTGATAATAATTTAATTAATTACTATTTATACGCGTCAAACAGTCATGGAAGATAACAACAAATTGAATAATAAAGATGTACATATATGGTATTATAATACGCTAAAACTGAAAATTTTGTGTGACATATTTTTTTATATTTATGATACAGTACGCAACATTAATAACATAGGCGAGTGTTAGTCTTTTTTAATATTAATAATTATGACGTAATTCAGACGAAAAAGCTCTAAGCTTAATCCGCTTCATACGCAATTATTAAGCTAAATGTAATAAATATTTATTACGTTATAAATACTCACAAGGGCAACGGAGTTGTTGTTTTGTTGTAACCAGCGTAGTATGGCACTGGCGGTGGTGAAATCTGGCCGTGGGGGTGGTGGTATAGCATGCTGGAGAGATGAGGCAAGCTGTTGCGCCAGCTCGAGTGCTCGGGCCCTTGCAGCTCGTCCTGGGCCCGTTGTTGTTGTACCTCCAGCCTCTGAGATAAAAATACATACATACTTATCATTTCACATTACTAGTTTCCTATCATTATACATCATGTGCGGTTGTTTTAATTGTAATTACTATTATATAGTTTAACGAGTTTATCTGGTATAAACTGTATTCTTTTAAACCCTAGGTATAATAAATTTTTAAATAGTTTTCACAAACAAAAAATACCACGTAATAGAAACAAGTTTTTATGAAACTTTGTTTGTTATAAAGAGATTAATAAAACTTTATTTCAATCATGTAAGCACATAACCGACAATATGTAAGTATAATTTAATGAAAAGTTCGATAAAGCTGTTAAAAAAATTGGTCATTTTTCCTATCTTTATTCTATTGATTTTAGAACATATACAATGTTCATAGCTAAAGTAACTTAAAAAAATTGATTATTAATTTATTATATATTTGTCTTTAACAAGGATACGATTCTGTAAGTCATTTCACATTTGGGCGCTGAACCCTCAAATCCAATACTAATCCGTCTAACGGTACACGATTATAGTTTCTCTTTCAGTTGAACATAAAATCTTTACAAGAAAGGGCCTTTCCTTTCGGTTTTTAATATATGTATATATCGGCGCTACCAGCTTTAATAACGGATGCGACTTGAAAATAATTTGGGGCTGCCATCAATTCTTATTAAACCTCATTAGTATTTATGATTATTGTTAAAAGTAAAACGAAATCAAAGGTTGCTTAAAAGGAGAATAGAACTATGTTTATATCTTGGTATAAATATGACGTCTGGACGCACGACGGCAGACTCCAGAATTGATAATTCAGAGTTCAGTGAGTGTGTATCATTGAAGTATGTTATTATGAACAATCTTTGAGAAATACAGGAGTATTAAGAACAATTGCAGTTTCATTTTAAAATATCATGGAACGTACTAGAAGAAGTGACATTTATAACGTCAGCGAGGCTGACGTCCCTCTCTTTTAAAACAACGAATTTGTAATAAATCCGATATATATATTTTTGTGAGATAAATATTTTCTATTTTAGTTTAATTAAACATTATTATTACATGTAAAGTGGCCAACTAGATCAAAACTATCGGGAATAAAAAGGTTTTTCGCATAAAATTTTGCATTCGGATAATATTTTATCATAGAATTTTAATATAAAATAACGATGTGGTTTATCATTTTAAGCCTTTGTTTATATATATAGAAAAAACCTTTTAACTTTCTTTTATGATATAAAATCCCCTTTAGGAAGAGGGTTCGGATCTTAATCCGCCGCCCTTCACTGCTCACAATGCCATATAATATGTTAGTCTTCGTTCTTTACAATTCACATTGCGAACATAATCTGTTTATATAAATAAATAGAATCAAACAATGGCAAGTTAAAATTAACGCCGTTCTTATTAACAAGTACACGCAAACTTACAGTATGAAGTTTTAAAAGCAGGTCTAAATTAATGAACTTATCCAAGTGCGGCACATGTCGCTAGGAAATCAAGTTTGAGAGAAAACGACGAAAATTTTAGTTACAACAAGTTTTACGAGTACTATTCGCTACACGCTGTATATACCCGTGGTTGGTATTTTAACAATACACGCAAGCTTTATAATAATCTACACTTATACTATATATATATATATATATATATATATATATATATATATGTATATATATTACATATAGATATAACGTTTCAAATATTTGTAAAAAATATTCTCTTTAATTTCCTACAAATTTTCTTAAAAGAAGTTATGACAGTAACACCGAATATATATTTATAAATGATTTTTCTTTTTGCTTCTAAATAATATAATGTTTTAGAACGTAATAGGAATGCTCACAAAGGTTACTTTAATGTCAAAAAAAACGATATTCTTTTAACGTCTAATTCTATTTCATGTATTTTTAAAGCATTAAATTTAAACTATTAAATTATTGACAAACTGTATTCAACCCCTTTATTTTTTATGTATTAACATTAAGGTTTTACCAGGTCGAAACTTTACTTAGCATCGATCGTAGCCTCGGTAGCTATGGCTAAACTATTGGAATAATGATTACGTTCTAGACTGGCTTGTGGCTTGCATCAAAGATTCCTTTTATGACGCTGCAGCCAACTAACTATATTATGGAAATACCGAAAACCGATCCCGTCTATACGATACTATCGATGATAGACTTAAAATGTGAATTAACTCTGCGAAATGTATATGAAACCATACGTTAGTTTTAGTCATCTATTATATCAACTATTCATACTTCATACAATTTCAATAAACTTTAAATTAATCCAAGAAATACTTTTATATTACACAATTTTTACAAAAACAAACACTATACACAATAACGACATTCAAAAATTAAGACAATCTCATTAACATAACATCCTTAATATTGTTCAAGTTTAATTTGTAAAGGATAATGAAGTTTGAAATAATATCCAAAACAAAGAAAGCCCACAAACAGTAATAATTAGATAACAAGTCATTATGCCTCCAGGACGTACGGGATTCTGTTAATTTTGGACAGTAAATAACAACAAATAGTATTATATAAATATATTGAATGTTCTAGAGAGTACAGAACTAAATAATTTAATGAATTATTTAATTCTATTATGTAAATAATTCATTAAATTATTTAGTTTTGTATGCATTCATTATAATCTGCATATAATATTATATGCAGATTATAATGAATATATGTATTATTACACAATATATTTTTCTGCATCTTTTATTCATTTACAGTTTACACAATCACTACGAAATTATATTTTTTTTACTTCACTAACAAAGCACGAATTTTATAGTAAACCTTAACAGTTATATGGTTTTAGCCTTGAAAACATTGATATATCAAGTAACTAATATGAAAACATTGGCTTCTATATCGACAATGTAAAACAGGTATAAAGGGTAATATCGTATCTATCGAATTTTCTGTAATCGGTACCTAAATTGCATCGCCGTACCGCAAGCGGGGCGTTTATAATTTTTCATTCATAAACCTATATTGATAGTATCATATGCATGTTTATGAATGAAACCTGGTAATTGCATCTGGTTTGACAATGCAATCTCGTAATATAAGCACTGAACAAAAATTTTATACTCCTGTTGATGTTTTTAATGCATTTTAGTCTATTAATACCGTCTTTACCAAAACCACAATTTTTGAACCCTCTATCTTTTACATTAAAATTCTTCGCATACGATATAATCAACTTATTATGTACATATATGAAAGAAAAATTCGAAAAAGTTCGTAATTAGTTAGACCATACACTAACTAGCACACGCGCAAGCACATGTACACACACAAACTCGATGATGACAATATGATATAATTTAAAGCTTTAATTAAATATCGGTCCATAAATTAAAGCGTATTGAAAATTAAATTCATGATCATACCAATAGGCTACAGAGTATACGGTTTATAAATATTTATTAATATCGCAAAACTAATTCCGATGCTGAGTATCAGATTCCAATGGATCGAGATACGTGGAGGGTTCGTGACCGGTCGAGAGTACGTCGAGATCATATTAATCCTGGTTGAGCATCGTTTACACCGACCTCGGTTTACAAAGAATAACTTTAATATGTGTATCGCCTGGACATTATACCATCGAAAAACAAACATTACTGGTATTAACCCAACTTGAATAGGTTTGTAAAGTTCTTAATGATTTACTAGGAATGTGGGTCTTTGAAACTAGTGCATCTGAGTTTACTGAATGCAACTATATTCATTAAGCGGAGCAATTCAAAATCTCTTCGTAATAACTCCACTCGCGCAAATTATGCGAGGGAAAAACTGAATTGCATCCGTCTAGGAACAATGCAGCTCCAGCTGAGGCCACAAACACAAAAGTCAAAAACAAACCTTTCTACCTATATAACCATTTCTTATATAATGGTCATAGTTTATAAGAAATGTGTCGATTATATAACAAAATAATCTATGTACATAGTCTTTTAATGTTAAGTAAGTTGAAAATTGTTGAAAGAGCGCACGTTTGTCTCATACTAGCATGTTGACAAAATACTTGTAATAAAATGTCACCGCTGTTCCGACAGTTATTAAAATAAATCTCTCAACAGCTGTTTGAATTAACATATTAACCTTACTTCCAAACTAAACAAGGCCGTCTTTGAGTTTGTTAGTGTATTGTGTCAACGTTTTACAAAGAGTCGAAAAATGTATTCCGGGCAGACAAGTAGACGTAGACATTTCACAGACTAGTGGATCCAAACAAGCAGCTAGCGAGACTGCATTATGCGACTACGTACACATACAGTGTATACAATGACGTTGTGCTACCTCATAAAGGGTCTAAGGCCTCGGCCTCGAATCTCGAGTCCTTACAACATCACAACACAAGGTTGGACACTGCTACATTTTGAAAATTACATTAAATATGACACACAAAATCAATCGATATTTATATAGATTTTTTTCTTCCCTACTTACAAAAAAGAAAATAAAATATGGTTCGCTGGTTTTTTTTATCTAAATAGACCGGACTGAAACACCAGTTCCACATTTGTAAATATTATCGAAGATTTGTAACTTGTACAGGTCTTAAATTGCCCTATTCTTTATTCTACGTGCTTTATAAATAACAAATGTCTGTTCTAGTTATGTCTATTGTCGACAACATTGCAATACATTTGACGCTTATAACAATTGAAAAGAAGGAATTCATATAAAAATAGATAAAACCTTTTTTTTATATAAAATATTGAAACGTTAAATTCAGTACGAAAGATAAGATAGGAGTGTAAAAGTTTACAAAAATTTCTTGGCCATTATTTTGAACCAAGATAATTTTAAGTGAGTCATGGCTAATAAGTAAAAGCCTTCTTTCACGATAAATTTAAGCTTTCAAAGTTAAATGCTCGTAAATCTACTAATATCTTTTATACAGTATAATGTCAACGTCTGGGCTTAGCATATGTATGTATCGTCAATCTAAATGAAAAATATAGAGCATTTCTTTACTTAAGTCAGAGATTTTTGATACAAATCGACTATTATTAACGGGCGATTGTTAAAAGTAGATGCATATAGAAATATTAAATGGAACATACGCTGTGGTATCTGAGACTCCTCAATATCCGAGAAGATGCGTCCGGTGCAAGTGTCGAACAGCCACCATCTCGCCACATGGTCCGGCCACTGCCAGCATCCAGGCATGATCACTCACAACATACTCCACGATCACTCTTTATGAACTCACTTAATCACGCCTCATACATACATTTGTACATGTCATTTTCACCAATGTTTTTTTCTATTTCTAACCATCAAAAGTTATAATATAATTAACATAAATAAAACATTTGATAAAGGATCCTATTAAAAAAACTTAATAAATCATTCTCATATCATGTATGAAAATGGGAACACTTCATAATTGATTAAAATTTATCGGTATTCCAAAGCCGCGTTGTGGAATTTATTTTAAATAAATTTTAAGCAATATATTGGAAAATCATATAACATGTTTTTAAAAGATATTACGCATCAAATAAAAGGCTTTTTACCTAGGCTGTCATCGGTTTTATGTCATTCTAAACTTTGTAAAAATTATTAAAATTCAAAATGCTTTATATCCTACGTATCTCGAATTCTACATACAACACGGGTATCTATTAATTTAATAACACTAAAGTATGAAACGTAATAATATTATATATTTTTATAATATTTATTGATGTAACCGCAGCTTGGTCAATATGAACGCATTAAAGCGATGTGGACAGAATGTTACAAGGGCTTTAAACCATGAGTTATTTTAATACAAAATTTTGTACCCCGTTATATTTATTTTCTTATATGCAATTTAAAAAATCAAGTTATATCGTTGTTTAGTAAATTTATAATTTAAATCACAGTGTAGTTGTGTGATCGTAATTTTTAAATTAACAGCAATTACTTCGTATCGATCGTATTTTAACTGTCATAACTTAACACACATTAATTATTATTAGCAAAACCACACCGTTAATATTTATTAATAATTTACAGTTTGTGGTTGGCACAATATATAGAATATGTTATGTGTTCAATTAGAGGAAATAATTTTCAGATGCGGGTAAACTATGTAATTGGATTATATTTTACAATGCAATAGTGATTGAACTTCCAATCTATGGACACTTTATAATCATTATAAAGAAACCTCAAAAGATGCATTCACTAAAAAATTAACATACTCTGTAAGCTGTGTGATATTTCATGGTATAAAAAAAGTACGTAATAAATTTAGTTTTAATGATACAAATATTTCTCAGACACAATAACTCAAATATCAAATTTGAATATAAAAACAATTCTTGAATGTGAATTAATCGAAAAATATTTAAACTAGCTACTTCAAGTAGAATTTAATGTAAATCAAATGCCTATATACCAATCGTAAAAATATATGGTATGCAAATTACACTTATTAAGGACGGGAGTGTGAGAATCAGAACATAGTTCTCCATATTTACGTATTCAATGAACCAGTCATCATATACCTAATTGCAAATGTATGTAAAATACGCAATAGTTACGTAAACAAATTTTAAAATATATATGTACATATATAGATATTAAAAATATAACTATTATGAAACTTAATCGAAATCAAACCCTATATAACTTATAATAATAAATGTTAAAACATCTCGCATTCCACAACTGTTGGGAATAACAAAGTATTACGGTATTCCATTCAAACTGAAAACTACACTATGGAACACTCTTTATGAAAATCCTGAATTATATTAAAACGTTCTGAAGCTCCTGCAGGATCTGCAGCATTTAATATTATAGTGAGATTTCTGTTTATATTGTAAATACACTAATGTTAGAAACTACTTAAGTAATCCAGAATTAATGTTTTAAACTATGAAAAGTGTCCAGACGTTATATTAAGAAACATTTTTATAATATTCCAGCTATGAAAAGAGTACATGGCAGATATATTAATAATATAATTATTTGAATGTAAAATACCGTTTCGATGTTATTTTCTCGTTTCTCTCTTTTTATATACATTATACAAATATTTGGCGATTCTTGTGATAAGAATACCTTAATATCTTAAACAAAGATTCCATTTCATGTGATATATCTTTACGTAACTGTTTACACGAAGTATGTATAATCTTATCTAGATAAGCACGCGACCTTCCTTCAAGATTTTTTAATGGCATCCTTGTTCCAAGAAGAATTGTTCAACGAGTTTAAAAAAAACCGGTCAATAGTCATTTCATATTTCTAAAGGTAAGCCTTAGTATGCGTGTTAGTTTTGTCTATTTTAAAAGATTCTTATTTAGCGCGTCTATTGCCAGCGGAATCGAGGAAGATCTAGGATAGCTAATAACCCGGAGGGTTCTCCTGAATCACATGCGGGCGCGAAACCAAGCCTAACCCAGTTTTGTTACAAAAATCCCACATCACTCAAAGGAAATCCCATGATGATACGTATGACAATAAAATAAAAATAAATCTTAATATAATAAAATCATTAAATAAAAAAAAAACAAAAAAAATTAAAAATTTATTTATCTGATAAATATACATAAAATATAAATAAATAATTAATATATAACATTTATTTATTATATTCAATGCCACATCCGTTTAACACGCGTCTAGCACGCGTTTAGTATTTCCGCACGCACGTCCGTCCGGTAGACGTTCCGCGGCCAACTGGCGCCGCGCCACCCTTCGTTCAACAGATTGCACCCTCGCTTATACCCCATAATAAATATTACTATATAACACAATGTCAGCCTACTTCGAACTTGCCTTATACGACTGTCTGTATTACATTAAATTAGGATACTTATATCACCGATACATGAATATTTAGACTTATTATTAGTAAATGATTTTAAATACCTATCAATATCATATGTAGTGCCAAATTTTTATCATATAAATATTGTCATTATATTATTATAATTAATTTATTAATACCTTTGTCTTCGATACCTGATTTTAGAATTGTGAACACTTAGTATCGGAATACGTCAGAACTGTTTTTTAATAATATCTAATCTAGCTTACTTTATCATTTAATATTATAGCAAAAGTATGATATATTTCATTTGATATGAAATGGTGTCAAAAAAAGTGATGTAAAGAAAAGCTTTATCAATTTGGTTAGAGAAACTAAAGTTATAAGATATTTTATAACTGGACTGTAAATGCAAGTAATTTTGAGTTTGTAAATGAATAATTTATTTGAAACACTCAAATTAACTATTTTTTTACTTTTTGACACTATTTTTGTATTCTCAGTACACTGACATTTCTGAAACACATTTTAGAAATATCTAAGTTCATCTTTTTATCAAATTTATGAAACGAAGGCTCCGCTTAGAAGTGCATAAAGTATAAGTAACGTAAATTTGTTAAATTTTCTAGGTAGTACTGAAACAGTGGCATAAATATCGGTAGATCAATCAGGAAATCGACGCCTCAATAGCCAGTGAAGCGTGTTAAATGATAGTAATGATTTAAGCGGCCGTCTCTGACAGAGTAACGAAATGTTGAATATTCCTTAATAAAATGTTAACATACCGGCTATAATTCCATCCATCTGCAGTAAAGCAGCCTCCAATAACTTTGTAGGGTCCGATTCGGGCGAAGTTGGGTTGTTATCGCCATCAACCTGTGTCGCTTTTCCCATTACACTTTTATAACTATTATGCAAGAGTAATAAGTTACCCTATTATTAAGTTTAATTTAAAAAATGTGAAACTAAAAGTTATATTCGAAATTGAAAAAGTTTAGGTCAACAAAAGTTTGACATCAAACTTTTGATGACAGTTGAATGAATGTAAAAAGGTATACTTTTTTGTATCTGTTTGCTAGGCAATGGCTTAAACTATACTGTCGATATACATTTTCTAATAATTAATCGGCTGATTTTTTTGTATGTAGAGTTGTAATAAATAATATAATTTAAAATCCAAAACAATTTATAATTAATGTCTTTATAACTGATTTTTACTATAACTGTAATGGGAAATAAATAAATGAGTTGACAGTTGAGAGACTGCTATTATCTTATCTTATTTTTATAGGTATATATCTTATATATTTAAATGGCAATTCTTGTATATTTAATTGGAATCTCGGACTCAACTCCAAAGATTTTCATAAAATTTAGTATATAGGAGGTTTCAGGGGCAATAAATCGATCTAGTTAGGAATCTATTTGGAAAATGTCATTTATAAAAAAAATAACAAAAAGCAGCGTTTAAAATATGACTCTTCCTGACATCTATTGGTGAATAGTAGTACTACTTTTTGGTAATTACTTTTACTACTTGCTTTAACGATAACGCAGCAGATGGCGCTGTTACGTAACAGGAAGTTAATGAGTGTTCGTTTTGAAGTGAGACTGAGAAATTAATTGTTGATTTATATTGTTTTATGTCTTCTTAAGGTGTTCACTTAAAAATGCCTAAACGAAATGAAAAATAAAACACAAAATAAAAACTAATAATTCCTAAATACCGAGCATTAAGCTTGGTAACCAGATTTTTCATATCTTATATATTTATTTATTCTTAAATAAGCGCAATTCTTGTATGTATACATGTATTAACATCTCGGAATCGGCTCCAACGACTTTCATGAAATTTAGTATATAGGGGTTTTTAGTTAGAAATATTTTTAAAAGGTGTTTCAAACGTGACTCTTCCTGACATCTATCAGCGATTAGTAATACTACTTTTTGGTAATTGCCTTAATGACACAACAACAGATGGCGTTGTTAAGCAATAATAAGTCTGAGTGTTCGTTTTGAGGCCAGACTAAGAAGTTGATTGTTGATTTATATTGTTCTGTCTTCTTAACGTGTTCACTTAAAAATGCCTGAACGAAATAAAAACAAAACAAAACAAATATGTACTAATAATTCCTAAGTACCGAGCAAGGCTCGGTACCCAGATAAGATATAACTTATATGCATAAGTTGACTTTATACTGTAAGATGTAAGTTATAAATGTTTATACATATTTCTTTCGGGTTGCATGAATTAAAATACCCTTGGAATACACTCGAAAATCATCTTTTTTAAAATTTTAAAAATATGTTATTGTTCATTTATGTAGAATACCTAATTATAGATTTGAATCTTTTAATTAACTATGAATCTCTAAGGGAAAATGAATGAAGGAAAATTTAAACAACCAAAGGTGAAGTATTTAATCGCATAGTTTATTAGTGTTTCATTAGACCCTTTACCAAATTATTTTAAGTAAATAAATAGAACTACATACACTTTATAATAAGTACCATTTCTTTATATTTCTAGACCATCGCAACAAGACAATATATTATATCAACTGCAAATAAACTTTTCCATCATAAAACAAGCAAAACAGCCATATTGCAAAATTACACTATACATAAATAAATAACATTTAATTTATTTATAATACTTTTGTGTAAATATATAATTTCTCAATGTGACAAACAGTTAAAAATCCACACATCTATATATTTGAATAAATTTCGAAAAACACTATATATTTCCATATTATTACCGATCTAAGGCACAATCTGCTAAAAATTTGATATTTTTTTATTCTACCACTCATCATTAAACTGGTAGATTATAAATAGTTTTGTATTACATAATAATAAAATATTTTTCATTATATTTAAAATGATAACACAATATATGTAACAGCAAATATCAACGATGATCTAAATCTTCAAATCGTTACATTATAATGCTTTTAAAACAATTCACTTACACTAAATATTACACACATAACAACTTAAAACAAATTAAAATGTTGGTAAGCTGTGTTTTGGTATTAAGGTGAGGAATTATATACTAGACGACATCGGAATTTAAAAACATCATACTACATTGTTGGCAAAACTGAATATAACACATCCATTTTACATTGTACCCAGAGTACATTAAAAATACTTAAAACAATAATAAACATACTAATTAAAATTTACCCTTTAGAACTACCAACAATTCAATTATATTGCCACAAAACAAAGCATTTTACTAATATTGTTACTAACAGTATAATCATAATTGAATATACAACTAACAATTACCTACACAATTGACATTATTTAATAATTGCTTTTAGACAATAAAAATTTTTACAACAGTAACTGTTGCTGTTTTATAAAATGCACAAAAATTAACAATGTTCTTAGAAGTCATGCAGACAGGTATTAATAAGAAATTCATAACTTCTTTACCTTTTCTCTTGAATCTGCTCACAATTTTCCCAACAGAACATTGTTAACCATTATTAATGAATTAAACTACATAAGAAAAACTCTGCATTTTTGTAAATTTAATATAATTAAGATCTCTTCTTAATTTTATATTAATCTATAAATATATTATCTCTATTAAATATTAAAGGCAATATCTATCGTTAAACATGGACGGATTAATTAAAGTCGCCCAATGGGGTTACCAATTAATAATATTAATAGCTCTTAATGTACACTTAAACTACATTGCGGCGAATCGGCCGGGACCGAAAAAATCCAGTAAATACGAAAAAAAACAACAATGAAAATAAGAACATCTATAAATAAATATGTGTTGCTCATTCAGGTAACTCACTAGGTCGTTCCACAGACGGACATCCACCGAGGTCAATAACAATATATATATAATATATATCTTCGTTGGTAAACATCTTTACAGTACCATCAATATCATAAACTTAACAGGCAAGACCACAACCCATATTAAGTACTTATTAGCTACAGGAATGTCCACATCAGGTTCAGAATTCAGATATATACATGACAAACGGACAAAGTCAATTAAGTACTGTATTTTTCTATGCCACCATTATTATAAATTTTCATAGCAGCTTGAGCACATCCACCTTAATAATTATAGTAAATACAACAAAAAAATATAGATTAATATCTAAGATTCGTTTTCAAATAGTGTATGACCAATCAGGTTAAGTAGCGTTAAGTAGATCTGGCACCATTACATAAGCACGAGAATGGAATACATCGTTTTTAGTTTTGTGCGAACTATGACGCAGTAACACACCGATCTTACTTGTTGAGCCATTGTTTAGTTATTGAGCAAGTGCGTTATTTGTAATGTTACATTTCGTTTACTTTTAACCTATCCACTAAAGTTAGACTTTAAGTACGTCACGATGTAACGACACCGTTGGAATTTCGATAATAAATAATAACAAATAATAATAATAATAAAATTAAAATTGTACATTAAGTATTAGTCGTGGACTTGCATCACATGCGTTAATACAAAAATATAAATTAATAACGGAATGTAGAATTCAAAATTCCGGGCTGTTTTTGATCACAATAGTTATTAAACATTCTGATATACTAGGCTTTGCCTTCTCCATAAATACGTCAACAGCGAAATGTAAAAATATATTAATTTGTACATACAATCCTCTTCATATGCTTTATAATAAACATTTGTAAATTTCACTATCGCACCAAAAAAAATACTCTTCAAGTATATACCATCAAATAACTCCTGTACCATTAAGTACGAACAAATTAAATAATAAATTAAAAAAAATAAGTCAACAACAAAGTATCACTTCATTCCCAGCCTTACTCTTAACGAATCTCAAAATGGAATGCATCAATTACAATTTGGAATGTCATATATATTATATACCACGGATCCAATTTTGTCCACTATAGAATCCAATTCACACGGGGGTGGGAAGGGAGGGGGGGACGTAGCGTACACCTAAGAAGTTCTATAGCCATTGTCCCCCCACAAGCAGTCATTGGTGGCTCTTCGACAGCAGATGGGAATTAAACTCGTAAACGTTGCAGCACTGCTCGCCGCAAATATTACATTTCCAGGGGTTAGCATCGCAGTGGCAGCCCTTGTGCAGGAAGTATAGCGTGGAGTCAGGAAACGTGATGCAGCAGAACGAGCAGACAAGCGACGAGGGTAGTAGCGCTGCGTCGCCTTGAGTTGAAGTAGTCACTCCCCCCTCCGAAGGGGAGGCTCTTGACGCCTGTAACACATATATGGAATTTATGTAATAATGATGTTATTATAAAGAACTTCATACCAATTTATACCTAAGTCTATTTTAATAACAAGACCAAGATGCGGTTTGCTCAAAAATAATATTATTATGTGTAAATGATATATTAAGTATAGTCCATATCGAAAGAAATTGGCAATCTTGTAAACAAAGCAACTAACCACGATAATTTCGTTTTTATGTACAATTTGATGTCAATCTTGATGATAATTATTTCTCAACGAACCCACAACTGTTTTTAACAATCTTATCATGACTAAACAAGTGTGTATAACCCCTACGAATCAACTGTGCACTTCTCTGGAATGCGACCCTTCTCCCGCTACCCCGCGCGGCGCCCCGCATTCGCCGTAAGCGCTCAGTAGCGATAACATCTTTGTTACATTTATTTATTATTAAATACAAAAATTATCTTAAACTATGAAAAATATCACCGCAATAAAAAATCTAGCGTCCACTTGCCGTTTTTTTTATTGCTAAGCTGTAATATCATATCGGTCCATATGTATCTATTTAATTGGAAAAATTTGTGAGTAAAATGACTTATCATAAAAACGACCCTTTACCAACATAAAAAAATTATAATTTATATATTTTTTATATAATTCTCAGTTTTTTGCAAGCGGTATCGTTCTAATAACGTCACAGAGCGAGGTGCACAGTTAATATGTAGGGGTTGTATATATGTTTAATTTATAAAATAACTTGCATCACGAAAATTTATTGCATTTGTCAAAATGTCAGTTTAATAACGAGAATTTTTTACTCATCAAAGTCTATTTATCTTTGAAAAATTAGTGTTGTACATGATAATTATACAATGAACTATTTTTTGTCTGCGACTTCCATTAATTTAAATTTACTTTCAAACTTAGAAATGTATAGCTGACCGGGGGAACTCTGTCGTTAAAAGCAGTAAAGCCGTTGTTGTACTGTAAATGGTGTAAGTGACACCACTTTCATTTTTAAATAAGATATTTATAAATATTAATAATTGAACTTTAACCAACTCAACAAAAGTTAAAAGATTTGATCATACTAAACACTATAGTGTACTCAACAGGCTGTGATGTAATCAGTCAATCAATCAAAATTTCATTTTTTTCTGATATTTAGCAGACAGAACTAAACATAGGTAGCAATAAAAAGTACAAATTAAACAGTTTATTCAATCGTTAGTGATTTCTAATTACTTATTGATCTTGATGGCATGGTCTTTGGGAAACCAAGGATTTTTAGTGCTTTTAGTATGCAAACAACTCTTATTCTTTAAAAAAAAGGTCACTAATAAATACTTAACAACATATGAACAAATTAAAGTACTTTTTATTATGATGCTTTAATCTAATTATTAAGATTTAGGTATCTTGAAGAGTACTCACATCACTAGGGGCATAAACAAGTCTTTGTAAATATCAGCTGATCACATTTGTTTACAAGATTGCAAATTTCTATTGAAATGAAATATAATATGTATTTATTAGTTCATGAGTTCTTAAACACTAGAGAAGTAACATTAGTTTTTGAATTACAGTTAATTATGAATTGGGTAGTTTGCCTTTCATCCCACTTGATGCTAAATATGTAGAAACAGAGCTGTAGATGATAAATGCACTTTGCCACATATTCAAATCTCTGGTTACACTGTGTTTACATTTTCAATGATTTTTCTATTAACATGTGACCTCGATAATTCCATGCACAGGTGAAATGTGATAACTAGAGAAAAGTGGGTGTTTGATAATATTTAATTTACTAAAAATACTTTCTTAAGAATAATATTGTATTTTTAACTTCTCTATTATACTGAATATTTAATTTGTTAGAATATCTTACATTATTGGCTCTAGACCGCCCCCTTGCTGAGATGCGTCTACGCAGGTCCTCTCGCAGCAAACTCTTCAGCGGCGACACTTGTATGAGTGAAGACAGTGATGATGACACATCACGTTTGTCTTCCCCTTCACCAGCATCTCCTGAACCTTCCTCCTGAGCATTAGGTTCCTAGTATTGTATATAATTATCAACCATTAATTATTTTATTTCTTCTAGGATATTCTAATAAAGAATAATAAAGGAACTTTATGAAACAAAAAAATTGGGTAAAAATATTCTGGGAGTTGCATGTTAATATAATCCTTGTTCTTGAATGTTTTTTTTATAAATAATTCAATTACATATATTAACCATGTATGTTTGAAAAGTAATTCCAATGAATAAAATAAATAAGTATCGTTAGATTAAATTTATAGCATATAAAATGTAACAATACACAATTCATAGTACATATAGACAAAGTATTCAAGAAAATCGCAAATAATTGTACATAAATGATCTGTATTAACTCCAATTTAGAATAATATTAAGGAAAAAACTTGTATTTATTTAAATAAGTTTTACATAAATAACATTTTATGTAAAACTTGATGGATTTTTAGATTACTTAGTAACATCCATAGTTTATAGACAAGGTAAAGTTATAAATGTTCATAATTAAAGTGAAGTAGGTACATTATTTTACCTGTTTAATGGGTATGAGTGTGATGGAAGGTGTTATAGCAGGCAATGCCAGGGAACTACTAGCAGCACTCTCTGACTGAGGTGACCCTGAACCATTCATACGAGACTCTGAAAAAATATCATTTATGATAAGTATATACCTACAAAAAATAAAGTTAATGATGATTTTTCAGCATAATTTATTTCAATATGGTTTGATAAGTTAAAATTTTTTTGAGATTAATTGGTTTAAATAAGAACATAGGTATACTCAGGATGTATATACAAAGGCAGATGATTACATAATATAAAGTCATAAATAACACAGCATGTAGATTTATATAGAATAATACTTGATGAAAAAATCAATTGCACAGAGTGTGTCCAAATATTCTGTTTCATGAGAATGCAAAAAAATGTCAGCACAATATCATGAATAAAGTATAAATAATAACTTATATGTCAATAATAATGATAATTGTCATCATATAAAAGTTGCAACAGCAACTACGAAAGAAGGGAATGCTTAGTGATAGCGGTAACCAACATTTCAATCACAAGTTACAAGACATTAAAATTATTTGGTGGCCAGATAGTTTACCGAAAAATAAAGAATATTTACCTTGGTGGTTATTCTGGCCAGGTGAGAACGTTTCGTTATTATCGGCCATAGATATTTCTACATGTGGGGTCAAATAGTGCATAGGTGGGGTTGCATTGTCCACTGAACGTTCTCCATTGCTGTCACCACTATCTGAGTAAGCAGCCGCTACAGACACTGAGAGGCCAGAGCCTAATGCCCCCAATGCTGATATGGCGCTGGGGTCCATAGTGCCGTCAGCATAAGCGGCGTTGGCTATGCCGGCCGCGAGAAGGGAAACAGAGTTGTTACCGGGCCCCGGGTTGTCCAGATCGATTCCGTGTCTGTCGGAAACGTTATGACTTGTAAAAGTATACTATGATTACGTGTATTTGATAAACAATGGAAACCACACATAAAAGTTAAAGTGAGGAATAGAGACCTATTGAAAAAATGGACCCGAAGACTCTTCATTGTCGGCGCTCGGTAACTACAGAGCGGGCAAGTTTTGACGAGATCGTGCTGGCCAACGTGCTCGTTCTGGAAGTGTGCACGCATGGCTATCTGTCGCTGGAAGCCACGGTTACATATGGGGCAATGGTACGGCAAGCTCTTTGTATGGGTCGTAAAGTGCTCCGCTAAGTGATCCTTTCTGAAGAACCTCTTCTGACACACGCGACACTCGTAAGGCTTGACACCGGTGTGGCGCATTTTGTGGCGTCGCATGTTGGCGCCATTAGAAAACTTCATGTTACATACATCACACTCGAATAGTTTTCTGTGTGGTCTAGCCTCTGTGTTCTGAGCGGCCGCCACATTATTATTGTCAGGTGAGCACTGTGCCATGTGTGTGGTTAAGGCTCGACTGCTTAGAGTACTAAAACTGTTACATGTAGTACATTTTAATAGAGTACCACTGCCCCTTTTAGGTGTTTCCTTGCTCGCTGTTGGAGCCTGTAATAAAGATGAATTTGCTCATTAACTTTTTAGGATAATTTAAAGAATTATAGAAATATAATTACAAAGATGAGCTCTAGTAAAAATTAAGAATTTGTTGAAAAAATTATCTACAATAGCAGAACTTGATTTTAAATCTGTCCAATGAACCACTTACTCAACCAATAAACATATCTATCTGAGTTTTCCAATTGGAATCTTTGTTTTCTTAAAAAAAAACATGTTAACATTTATAAATTTTGTACTCATCATTATTATCATTAATTAAAATTTGACACATAACATTAAAAAATGTTGAAGTAAAAGAAATAATAATTATCAATTGAAAATTCTTAATGATATTTCATATTCCACTTTTATTTCCTAAGAATCTCAATTAATCTATTCACCTTAATGACCTTGAAGCAAAACAGTATTTTTTAATATATATATAGCAAAAAATTATTAATACAAGATCATTAAAAAATATATAATTAAAGAAAACAATTAATTATTGCACTTTACTCTATTTTATACTTAAAATTCAATTTGTTAATGAACAATGTAATTAAATAGAATAATGCAACTTGGAAATATTGACAAATATAAAAAAAATGACAATTAATTCATATTAATAAAAACCTCTATCATAGCAAAACATAGCAATTTGTTATATAATATTAAAAGGATGTACATCATATTTTTTTAATGATATTTTTATATTTCACATTAAGAACTAAATTAAGATTATTAAGTTCTTGTTATATACTAGATCTTTATTTCTATAATGTTAGAAGCTTAAATAGCTAAACAAATTATAACATTTCACATAAAATGATTGATTTGTTTTTGTGATATGATTTTCAATTATTTTTTAGATGCTTATCCAAGTTACCAAGACAAAATAATTATAAATATCACTTAATGAGGGTAATATAAGGATAAAGTTTAAAGAAATATTGTTATCACACAGATAATTATAACAAATTATATTGTAAAAGAAATGTTATATGTATAAATATAGATAGACACAATGTATAGATATTATAATTGACTAGATTTAATGGTGACATGAATGATATCAGCATCCAAATGGTTTATAAAAAGCTCTTCCTACATGTGATTATTTTGTAGTGATTATTGAGATAAGTAATTAACATTATATTATAATTCACAAAACAAAACATTGAAACTTTCAAAAAATCAAGATCATTTTATTTTGATTACATAAAAATATAATAACTTTTGCAATATTGTTTTATTGATGTATGATTTGAATAATATATAATAAAGAACATTACCATTTAAGTATAACCAATTAGTAAAACTAAATAAAAAAATGTTTGGCTTCTATTTGGGTACATTAACTTGGATATCAATATTTTTTATTATAAGACTTTTCTAAAACTATACATTATTAAAATACATACCGGTTCATTTTTGACGGCAGGTAGATTTGGCGACACGGTGCCAGAATCGGCCTCTGTTTCCCCTTTTGATGACATCACATTAGGTCGCGGCCTTTCAGATCATCACTCTCCTACCTCGCTATTCTAAAACATCACAAATAACAATCACAACATTTTTAATACTCTAAACAAAATGACACTGAAAACAACGTTTCCTACACCTATATAATCTTCTAACGTGACAATCTGAATAGAATGGCGAGGTGACCCATTTACGAAAACATACGAATTATCGACTCACTATAGACTAATTATAAACTTTATCCACTTATCCCATGTACATCCCACAACACCTGGATGAAAACGATGTATATTCCAATGTAAATAACGAAAACATCGCACTCACTTGATAGCCTGCCTTGATACGTCGACAGCCAGAACAGCGGTATTTTAGGGAGAGATCGCTATGTGGCCTAATTCAATGCTTGAGCTCTATGCACAAAATACGTGTTACACGAATAACTGTAAATGCACAAATAAGTGGGTCCCCACTTAAATCTTATGTTACCTGGACATTTAATTATATTTAACACTTACTATTTATCCTAAGTTACTCCTAAAATCTATAAAGAAATCACTAACATTTTTAACAAACCTATGCCCATTCTGTAAATACTCGTTCATCTACGATGGTAAGTTCGGGCTTCGATAAATAAAGCACATTTTTTTCTTATTTTTCTTTTCTAGCAACACATGTTACCAAATGGAGGAATCTTTTTCGCGCCTTATTTTATAGGACTTAAAAAAACTATTCCTTGCAATATATAATACACCAAATTGTACCTACTAAAAAATAAAGCATTTTTGTCAGATTTCCTTAATTTTGTATTTAAAAATGATATTATCTCAACAAGCAGCTTTTTATAGTGTTAAGAAAAAAATATGAATTATAATAAGATACGAATACGATAAAAAAATATTATAGTAACAAAATTTGTGTTATTTCTGTAGGAACTTGGAAACGAATCCAAATTAAACTCTACAAGTATCTTATATTATGTATTGTTCACTGGTCATTATGATAGTTTTCATGTAGGTATGACATCCTATTAAATATTTTGACATTTCATGAATTAAGACATTGGACAGCTGATGTCACAAGCTGATGTTAAACAAGTTTTACCATTTAATATTATTAATTTATTTTGAAAGTTTTCGTGCCAATGACAATAATCGGTTTTCCCTATTAGCCATGTATCCGGTTTAACTTCCAAAATTTTATTTTGCCATACTAGATGGGAAGTGTTTTTAAATGAAAGTACAAAGACGTATAGTTATTAAATATGTGTATACCTTCAATAAATTCATTTTTTAGCCAATGGAGGCTATGGATTCGTCCAATGTTTATAGCTACTTATGTTTTATTAGTCATAATATTAGTACCGCTGTTGATAGTTCATTCGATAAATAATGGTTTTACAAAGTCAGACCAAAGCACTTTGATAGGAGGAGGCTTTGTTCTTCTTGCTGTGCCTATCTCAATATGGCAGATCACTCAACACATAGTTCACTATACAAAACCGTCTTTACAGAAACATATAATTAGGTAAAAAACTTTTTATTTTTTGTATCTGTATTTTTTTTTAAACAATAATAATAATTTTTCTCCTTATCAAGGATTTTATGGATGGTGCCAATCTATGCTTTGAATGCATGGATAGGATTGGAATTTCCTGAGCAATCAATTTATATGGATGCATTAAGAGAGTGTTATGAGGCTTATGTTATTTACAACTTTATGAAGTATTTATTTAACTACCTCAATGATGGTCAAGACCTCGAGGCATTGTTGGAGACTAAACCTCAAGTTTATCATATATTTCCACTATGCTGTTTGACACCGTGGGAGATGGGAAGGTTTGTCTACTTTTTGATACTTTAAACCATATTTTACATGATTATGAAAAATATCAATATTTTTTTGTTTCCAGTGAGTTTGTTCACAACTGTAAGCATGGCATTCTTCAATATACCCTAATAAGGCCTTTGACAACCGTCATATCAATCATATGCGATCTCAGCGGAGTTTATGGAGAGAGTGATTTCAGTCCTAACGTGGCTTTTCCATATATAATAGCCATAAATAATTTGTCACAGTTTGTAGCTATGTACTGTTTGGTATTGTTCTATCGGGCAAATCGTGCTGAGCTAAAACCAATGAAACCCATTGGCAAATTTTTATGTATAAAAGCTGTTGTCTTCTTCTCGTTTTTGTAAGTTTTTTTTATATATTCTTTATGTTCATACTATTGCTAACAAAGAACTCTTATTGAATTTTAATACAAGGTTTAAAATCCCATTGTTATTTCCAGCCAAGGTGTTATTATCAATATACTGGTATACTGTGGAGTGATATCTACTATATTTGATATATCAGACAATGACAAAATAAAAATTATATCATCAAAATTACAGGTTTGATTACTGATAAATGTATCATTAAAAAAATGTCAAAACAAATAAGGAATCAATTGATGTTTTATATATCAACTGAATGAAATAAAAGTAACACATTAAAATGTGTATATACTCATCAATGTTGTTATTTGTAGGATTTTCTTATTTGCATTGAGATGTTCTTGGCGGCTATCGCTCATCACTACAGCTTCTCATATAAGCCATACATATCACCATTGGCTCCGACAAATTCCTGTCTCGGTTCTTTCCTGGCGATGTGGGATGTGTCTGATGTGAAGAGAGATATATCTGAACATTTGGGAGTTGTTGGTATGTAAATCATATAATCTATCTTTAGTCAATTATCTTTACAAATAATCTAATTAAATATGACTGCTGATAAATAAATCTAATTAGAAGAGATTACTGCTCAAGTGAAACTTAATATTTACATTGTGTGTAAAGCTTTGAATATAAGAATTTTCAATTTCTGTATTATTCATGTTCTATTTATATAAGTATCTATTAATGCATATTTATAATTGATGTACAGGGAGTTCATTTAGTAGACGATGGCGTGGGAAATCTATGTATCATATGGCCAGAGGATATGATGAAAGTTCTAGACTAAACGAACCAACTGCCAGTTCAGCGCCAAACATATCAGTTGAGAGCGTAGAACCAACTGTTGAAGTAAGGACATCTGTGTACGGATCCCTAGAGAACACTATGACGACGGGTTCATTGACCTCCGAAACAGAACCTTTGATACGGAACGATTCAGATCCCAGTGTTTAAATTCTGTATTAAGTATTACAAAATATAAATCTTAAAAAGTTACCTCTAAGACAAGTTTTGATCATGAGTACTTAAAAGGATGCTTTTTTGTTTAGGTACAGTTATATGGAACAACATATTATCATATAATTCTCATATATTATACGACATGGATTAAAATCGATAATAACCGCCGTAATACAAATTATGTAATAGTTAAGAAATATTCAAGATAAATATTAAGAAGCTTTCTGTCTAACAAACCTGTTAGACGTTTCATTATACAAGTAAATATGAATAATTATGAATTACTTACAACTATAAATAATAAGTGAAAACTATGCATAGAGAATAAAAAACATATTCCTCGTTATTTCTTTATGATTTACGTTGACCGAAGAGAAAAATATATGTATAATAGAAATTTAATAATTTTCCCAGAAATTAAAAAATGAATATATTATTATAACTAAGTGTTATTAACTATATCGTCGAGTACAATTCAGAGCGTTTTGTCTCAGTTGTATTTACTTTATGATTATGAAATGTGATATTGATTTACATAAACATTAATGTAACGTATTTGTTAAGTTTCACAAATAAATCGTATTTCTTTAATGCATTTATTTAATTTTCTTATTTTCCTTATTGTATTCTTATAAGTGCTCATTGAATGCTGTTTTTGTATTCCTTATAGGTATCTGGTTAAAGTTGAATTATATATACCTACATGCTCCCATATATACTCACAAAACCACATCGGAATAATAAAAAGAATAAAACGACAAAAAGTAACGCATTTTATTATTGAAATGGATATTTATTATAAAATTATTATACGTACACTGATATGGCCTTAGGCGTTGTATCACAATATTCGTCTGAGCTTTACTTAAGCAATACATTTGAAATATTTATAAACTTTTAATATAAAAATTACAATCGATTTTCCCTTATCACTATAATAATATTTTTTGAAGATAAAAATGATAATTTTATTTCATTTAGATAGATGGAATGTTATAAGTTTTATATTGAATTTAAGAAATATTGATATGAAGATTATGTTCTGTTTATTAGTAGACATAATATTTATCTATAATTAAATACATATAAAAATACTGACATATATAAATTTATATTACGTTGTAGGTACGGTGTTAGATATAAAAATTAAGAAGCTGCCAGCAGATAATTAATCGATTTATATTTAATCGATAATTTTATAATTACGACTTTTATAAAAATTTTCAAGTGCAGTCAAACCAGCCTTAAGACTGTTCATTTCGATTTTATTCCACAAAGTCCCCATAATAATATAATAAAATGAAATTCCAGTCATTATTATTTTTAAAATATCAGTCATAATGTTATTAGGCCAGAAGCCAACAGAACCTAAAAGAAACATGAATATTAAGCCCCCCGTCATAAGAAATAGTTTTTTAGATTTCGTTATAGTCACAGTAGCCTCCCTGCAAACTTTTATTGCCTCTTCTATAGTTTCCTGAAAGTGTTTCTCTTCACTATATTGCCTCTTTGGTTTACTTTGAGAAGGTTTTATTTTTAATTCCAATGCAACAGCATCATGGTCAGAATAAGAAAATGGCTCCCCGGGAACCCTCTCCTCCATGGGATTACCGTAACTATTTACTTGAGCCTGTAAAGTATACATATAATAATTTTAAATACAAAAGGGCTTTTTAACCAATAATAATAAATATCTTGTCAGCCTAATAAGTAAAGAAAATAATTGGATTCCATAAATTACCTCATATTTTGAATCAACATGAAATAGTATATGGTCTATTCGCTTCCCTTCAGGGCATAGTTTTACCAACTTTGGATCAGAATAGCTATTGTTTATGTTGTCACTAGTTCCAATTTGTTTGGCAAACTGATCATGATCAGCCAGTAGAGTGTATGGGTCCAGTAGAGACGGTAATTGAGTAATTAACCTGAAAATAAAAGAGAATTAGCATGCATGTAAGTTAATTTATCAAAAAATAATAGTGAATGATGGTTTTATAGAATGTTTTTCCGAAAATACATCTTGGCTGTTACTGTATTTTATATACTCAATGTTTTGTATGTGTGGTCTTATCTTTATAAACCCTACTTCACTTGAACACTAAACTGATAATTTTTTCTAACTCATTTTGAATGCAAGTGTTAATAGAACAATTAATATTCATTCGCTTATTGCAATAGCTAAAATGGTTAGTGGATAAAAACTATTACCGCCAAATATACTGCTATAAGACTCATGAAATAAATTAATAATGTACAATCAAAAACTAATATCAATATAAGATTATCAAATGTTACATTACAAAATAACTGATTTTTAACATAACATTGGGAATCATACTTTAATATCCTGAAAACAGAAAATTTTCAAATATTATGATTTATAATTACGCAGAAACGTATGTGCATATTTATTTATTTATTTAAGCTTACACAATAATACATATATTAACAGTGAATTTTAAATACCATAAAAAGAATGTAGTACATACCTAAGTCTAAGACATAGTTATAAACATGTTATTTTATAAAGTTAACATTCTTATTTAACATATATTTTTTATTGCGATTACTATATACATATCATCTTCATCTTATATAAATATAAATTTGTGAGAGACTGGAGCCCGTGACAGGAATACCTGTATTACAGGTTTCCAGGTCCCCACGCCGCCATATTGACAAAGTGAGCTCTTAACATTAAACTGTTCTATATAAATATGTTGGAGAGATTGTTTCAGTGGGTTAGAGTGTATATGTGTGTGTGAGTGTGTGAGTATGTGTATGTATGTGTGTAAGCGTGTGTGTGTGTGTGTGTGTGTGTGTGTGTGTGTATATATTACTTGTTATATTGCAACAATTATAGATAACGAGATCTAAGACTCGCGAGTATTCTATTAAATTAAACTAATATTTTTCTGATTATACTACACGTATTTTATTATTGTAAGAACTACACACTCCCGACGATTCATGAAGTGTTCAGCTACCGTGATCACGGACAGAAGAGATACAATTTTTTAACTCTCACTTAAATAATAGATAATCTAAATATCAAAGAATAAATAGCCTAGAGTTTTATATACACTTTACAGCGAGCTTTATTGTATTATTAACTTGGTAGAACTCCAGAAAGTGATTCGAATGCTTATGTCCCTGTACTAAATATATTTTGAATAACATAGACATAACTATCAGCTAACAAAAATCAAATCTACTGAAACACATCATTTGAAGTTTTACTACTTTTATAAACGTTAATAGTCTCCAGTGAATTTATTCAATTACTTTAATACTTTATGTGGCATAGGATTAGTTACTATTTATAACAGTAATTTTTTAATGTATTGAATATTGTCAATATAAAAACAAAAATCCATATTGTAAAAACCACAATAACAAATAGGTAGATCAGATTTCAAAAATGCACAAGTTTTTGTTCTATGTTGTTAAGGTTTCCATTCTATGTCTACGTTCCATTCCTATGTTTTCTGATAGCGCTTGCAAATGTATACATATATAATAATTATTATATCGAACAGACCCATAATGAATATATAAAAACAAAGGAGTAAGTCAAGAAATGTCAAGTCAACAAAAGTCACGAAATCGATGTGAAATAATAACAAAAACATGTTTTTACCTAAACGATAAATCTCCAGGTGCAGCATTGAGATCACCAGCCAGTATTGATACATCGGCAGGAGAGGAAGTTAAATTAACCAATTCCGCAGTAGAATATGCCTGTAATACTCTATGAGCCAAGTATATATCATCCTCGTGGTATTCTGCATGTAACTGTATATAATGTAATAATTATATTAACCGAAATATATTTAAATAAATACACACAAAATGAAGTACTCAAATATTCCAGTACTTAATTTTGTACTATAAACTATATAGTCTAACTACATTAAAAATTAATTGACGTAATTAATCTCACAATTTCTTTATTAATTTTCAGCTATATAGATAAAATTATTATATGTAAGTACGAAAATCTAAGACAGATTTATGAACTTAAAATCTAAGATATTACATCACAAGACTATTAATTTAAAACTGCAATTAGCTATGAGGCTTAAAATCAGTCATTTATACTCTGAAAATCATTAAAGTTCTAGAATTTAATTTCTCATTTAGGTGTATTTGAAAAACCTTCAATTAGTAATTGTTACCCAAACAAGACTTACATTACAAAGAAATAATTTGAATAACCTTGAGTTGCAATATAGACAATTATTCATTGTTGCCAATACTTTTTACAATCTGTTTCATATATTGATCAATATATGTATGATCATACAGCTTTATAATTTTTTCCATTAAAAAATACTTACATGAGTGCAGTATATATTGATTAGCCTGTCGTTATATTTAATTCGGCATAGACCCACACCCTTTCCTCCAAACCAATCGCCATGGTGAATCTTATGTATGTACCCATTTAGTGGCCACTGATGGAAGAAGACATCTTGAATAGCCCATTTTGTAAATATACATAAACCTGACCCAAAAACACCACTAGAAACAAAAAGTCGTCATTAATGGAAAAATTCTATTGGCTTACAAGTTACAATCATTTCAATAAAGTTAAAGAGATTTGTTTTCTTTGAACTACCTGTAAAAATAGTGTGAAAATGGAAACTGCTTCTGTAGCTGATCCTTCAAATACAAATAATCTTTTTCACACCATACTTCTTGTAGACAAACAATGTTGTGGGAAGCCTTCTGTAAATATGTGGCTATAGCTTCAATTCTTTCTTTGCGATTCTTAGAAACAACTGGTATGCCCCTAAAATTTGAAAAACAAATAAATATACCACTTGTTTAAGGCAAATAAGATTACAAATCATATTCAATTGAATTATAAAATTACGCGTTATAATTTTTTTTTGTACATAATTTGTAGTAAATCATACCAGCAGTTTAAAGTAAAGATATTTAAAGTAAATTCCATGTTGACTTGTTATTGTTACAGATGAACTGAAAGATCTTTTGTTAACAACTCTTTGCTGTTTATACGGTTTTGTAACAAGTATATTGAGAACAGCGTATGTAAAGTAAATAATTCCATTAAACTTCTTGTCACAACTTAGTCAAAATTAAAAAATCTATAAATTTCTCTGGTAATATATTTTTTGTTTATTTTCGGTTATCGAGGTCTCCTATGGTTACGTATGTTTGTAATTGTTTTAGCTTAACATAATTATTCCTGAATTACTACACTAACTGCCACATCGCTAATCAAATACGTAAACGATAAAATCAAATAAAACAGTTTGCAATCGTCAGGTTAAAGTACCATCTACCTATTTACTGTTATTATCATTTCATGACATATGTTACTGTCACCATAATACTTGACAGATTATATGTAGTATGGCAACATATGTATATTTTTTCTAAATAATTGTTTGAGGCACCCACAGGACGGAGAATAGACAGCCCATTAAAATTCCTCTAATTATTATTCTGTTATTTTTAATATTATCAGAATTAATTGTTTTCACAAATTTCAACCAACGTAAAGTTTATATATAAATATAATGTCATTACCTTTAACTTTCCCTGAATAAGGTTATCATGAGAAATTGAAGTTGTAGGACATCATGTTATTACGGTAAACTCAAGCTGGGATAAGAAATTAATTGATTTTAAATTCGAGAGAAACTGTTCGAAATAATTGTATAAAAACCAAAATAATTAACAGCTTGTAAAAATGTGTCTTTAAATACTTCTCCTCACAAACTGTAGATATAAAAGAGAGGCCAAATGAATAATTGAGTATTTTATAATGTTTTTGTCTTTTAAAATACATATATGTATGTTTAGTATTGTACTAATATCTACGATAATCGAGTTTCTTCTACTGTTAGTTAACATTCATTAAGTGTTTGTAAATGAATAATTAAAAATGTTATATAAAAAAACAAATCTGCAATAAAAAACAGGAATTCTGTTTCCTTTCAATAAATTATGTTAACTCACAATAAGATGCATACTCGTGTCGTAAGGAAAAATGGAGAAGAACGAAGGTTTTCTCTATTCATGTAGTACTATTAAGATATTGATTAAATTATAACTTTGTTGATTATTTAGACTAAAAGAGTGACATCGGTTTTTTATGCAAATAGTAAACGAGAAAAAGGTCGATCTGTTGGGAAATTGTACATTCCACCGTAACCCGTAACCATCAGCGGCAACACGAGGGGATTATACATGCGTGGTTTTTCCCTTTTTTAAATACTAATGTAGATATAACCATTTACTTTAACACTTGGCATTAATTATACCCATTGGTTTCAATATAAATGTTCCAGCCAAATTACAACACAAAGAAAATTCAATCGAACGCTACACAAAAAAGAACATTTTCTATATTAATAATAATTAAAATTTATGCAATCGTCTAAGACTTTCCCCGAGTACATGTCTAAAATGAAACTATGTTTTGGATATGAAACTCGATTTAAGCATTTTATTTTACATTTTTTGATTATTTTATTGCAAACGTTACCAGTGTTAGATGAGATGAAAGTATCTCATGTAGAATATAATAATAAACGATTCAGTACATATATTTGATAAGAACTGTCTTTATAGTCACCATAGAAATAGATAAATTGTTTCTTTTAACACCTGAAATAAAAAATCACTTATAAACAACGAACTTTATAGCAAAGTTTCTAACTTATAATTAATTAGGTACCATTTTTATCGACAAACAATATAACAAAGGAGTTTAAAAACTAAATTCTATTTATGTAAACAATTAAGTATCATCTCTAATAGTATTGCCATCGATACGTTTCTCCACTTTATTTTTCACTATTCCCGCCAATTTCGAAGCGGTGACATATTTCATAGAGTTTTCATCCTTTCTTTTTTTTCTGCCAGTTTCACAAGTTTTCGGTATCCGTAATATAACTTCTGGCCTTTTATGTCTATCAACGTGGTCGTTTAGCCGGGCCTGAAATTATTATGTATTGCAAGTGAAAATATAAAATGATCACTATCATTTATTTATTTCATTACTTTATTTATACCTTTGTTGTTAATTTCGCACCACAGAGTGTACAATCAAAAGTCTGACCTTTATGCTTTACTAAAATATGCTGCTTTAAATTACTGTTCCTTGAGTAATGTCTGTAAAGTTACTAGATAATTTAAGAATTATATAGAATGAAATTTGTTATATTATGAGGAAGTAAGAATAATATAATCTGACAATTTTACTTTTGAATTATTCTTAATTTTGATTTTAGTCTTAATCTGTTGGGATAGAAGTTTGAAATCTAGAAAACTAAATATTTGCTTTTGATGCTGCGCCATTCGGGCACACACTGAATCTGCTAATGAACATTTTGGCAAATATGTACAACCTATTTTCTAGTCGACAGTTAACATTTCAACTCCACTATATTTTAAACTATCCTATGTATCTTTTTCATTTAAAATTTGATTATTTAAAGGATATTCACATTAAGTAAAATAAAGAATTATCAGCAATGCTACATCTCAATTACGTTCTATATCTCAATTACTTTAAATAAATATATTTTGTAAATCATAAGATTTTTTAAAACTATAATAACACTCACCTGTGACAATTTTCATAGGGACAAAAGAATGCTGTTACTGAATTTCCTGGCAAGTGATTCTTTACATGTCTTATTATATGTGATCTCTCTTTAAATACTTTTCCACAATCATCACAAATATATTCTGAAATCATAATATATAAATAATAATGAAGTAATCTCAATTATGAAGGTCAGAGGTAGAAATTTACAATTGTCCTAAACAGGTTGACAAATATAGTTTTCCATACCTAGGGCTTCCAGTGTTAATTTGTTGTTAATACATTCTGTGATGCTTGATGAAACAAAGTTATGGTGGCTATTCATATTTCTAATATATTACTTATTCTTGGAAATGCATAGAATAATACAAACCACTCTTAAATTTAAATACAATATTAGCTTTATGGAACATTGTTTGATGATTTCAAGCTTTTCTTGAATTCAGTTATAATTTTTTTAGGTGATAGAGCCTTAATGTAGTCAAGTAACTGCAGCTCGAACATGGATTGGCTCAGCCAGGGAAGTACCACCCCCTCACAGAAATTTGGTGTGAAGTAGTCTTTAATGGCTGCGTTTTGTCCAGTGAGTGAGAGAGCAGGTTGCCCTTTCCTTTCCCTCCCTTTTCCACCTTTTCCTCCCCCTTTTCCCCAATCAAGGGCGGCAACACATCCACAAATCTAAGTAGCAAATGTCCATGGGCGATGGTACTCCCTTTATCAGGTAGGCAGTCTGCTTGGTCGCTCCCTTTTTACATAAAAAAAATAAAATAACTTACGAGGTGATGCATGATCTACTCTTCTGTGTTTGACCAGATCCGTCCATTCTGTAAATGTCATATCACAATGTTCACATTTATGACTTCTGTGGTTTCTCATGTGCTTTCTTCTTTTATACAATGTAACAAAATCTTTTGAGCATACATTACATCTAAAAATTTACATATTTTTTCATTATGTATAATAGATCATTGGATTCTGGACATACAATTTTTATTAATTAATCAGTTTATTAACCACTACATAAAATAATACATAGCATTTTTTTTAGTTATTCCTAGCAATATTTTGTTATATAATCACCTAAATGGTTTAATACCATTGTGTTGGTACATATGGGCCACAAGTTGATCTTTCTTTTTGAACTGTGCTTTACACTCATCGCAGGTAAATGGTTTATTATTCTGTATGTGGCTCACCTTTATATGACGTTTGAGGTTCTGTCTGTTACAATATTTTTTCATGCAGTGTGGGCAACTGAAAGTTATAACACGGTTCATATTAATTGATTGATATTCTCTGTGAATAACATGGAATTTGCAATGATCATCTATCTATAAACTATAAATAGATGTGTTCTGACTAAACATACCAATATAATATATCCAGTTCACTCTCTTTATGTGCATTGTTCACATGACGGTCCAAATGACTTTTACTTGTGTAGGCTTTGTCACAGTTTGTTATATTACATGTAAAAGGTTTCTGTAATATCAAATGACCAATTTTTACGAGTCAAATAATAAAAGAGTAATACCAAAAGATAAATTTGATCCTATCAATAGGGAAAAATTTTATATTGAATAAATATATTTTTTTTGAGTTTTTTTTTGTATGTAGGAATTTGTCTCCTATGTTGTTGTAACTCGCGTCACAAATACTTACTACATTAACATGAACTAAACGATGTTGCGCTAATCTATATGGTCGGTTAAACTCAGATTTACAGCCATCAAACGGGCAAGAATATTTTTTATTCGAGACCAAACCCTGTTCTTGCATTTTAGTTTACAAAAAACAGTTCACATTTACTGTATCCTAGATTGTTAAATCAGAATGTTTAATATTTGTTGGAATTTTTTACTTTTAAAGTTCTAAAAAAAAATATATATATAACTTCAAAGATCATATTGAAAAACATTAGTATGGTATTTTGAAAGATAAATTGACATTTGAAATGTCAAAAAATCAATAACACCCTAGTATTAAGTACCTTCCTATATATCTGCAATCTGCAGTTATTCCACTTTAAAGTTTTAGGTGGCAGCACAAGCATTTATATGTAAAAAAAAATAGTTCTATAGTTGTGTTTTGGTTATATATTCTTTTCCGTATTTTATTATTTTTGTGTGTGTGGACATATTTACAACTCTTTAAATAATAATATAATCTTAGCAGTTGTTTAAAACCATTGGTATTATTCGAACGCAAACATTTGCACAACATTGCAACAGCGTGTAGGTCGAATTTAATTAAGAAGTAATAATAATCAGAAGTGACAGAATGCTATCACCCAGAATATATTTCGTATTAAATAATGTAATTTAATAATTTATAATTTGTTTGGTCACCTTTTTTTTAAGTTAACAATAGTAATACTTTTTAAAGTGACAATAAAAATAACTTTTGTTACTTCCACTATATTATTGAATGAAGTCAGCTGACGAATATAAACAAAGGGAATGTTCATAACCAAGTCCTGAGACTTACTGAAAGTGTCTGTGATTTAGATTTAAGAGAGATGGATATTGACGGTTCATCTTCGGCCGGAGAGCTCGGCCCTAATCATGGAGAAATAGATCAAAATCTACTTCTCCTATTTAGCTGTATGAATACAACAGATAGAGAAGAACTAATAGGTCAAATGCAAAGATTATTAGGACCAAGTTTAACATACAATACAGCTAGTTTTTTCCTGGATATGAGTAATTGGTAAGTATAATAGCAATATTCATAGTCTAAACTTTTTATGAATGATAAGAAGAAAATATTTTTTCCAGGAATTTACAAGCTGCAATATGTTGTTATTTAGATTATAGTCTACCCCTTAAACCTCCATCTATGTCATTGAAGGCTGCTCAAGTTCAAGAATCTGCTGTAGGACCTGGAACTCTGTAAGACTAAAACTAATGCATCAGTTAATCTTAAATATTATTTATAATTTCTCATATAACCAATAGCCACTTTGCTTATTAATTTCTTCATTCAAATTTCATATATTTTTGTTGTGGGTTTATAAAAGTACGGGTGGAATTCATTGATTATGTTGAGGTTATTTTTTGTGTTCTGACTCAACATAAAAACAAACAAAACATAATTCAAATCAGTTAACAGTGTCTGATTGCAGTTTTGAACAAAATTGGAGTATTGCCAACACAGGAACTGAAGGTTGGCCAGGTAGCTGTAGATTAATACAGGCAGGTGGTGAATCGTTTGATGCCACACCTGTTTATGTACCGCCATTGCCACCAGGGCATACAACTAACATTACCATGAAGTTGAAAGCTCCCAGTGTTGCTGGCATTCATAGAGGCTTTTTCCATTTGGTTACAGACAAAGGAGACCAAGTTGGTGGTTGGTACAATGAAAAATTGTTATTATGTTCACATATTAATGATCATTCATAGTAATTATATATATAATGCATAAGCTTAGCTAAATATTAGTAAGTACACATTTTTTTGGTTTTACTATGCTTGGCTTTCTCAATTTGTCTGTTCATTATCAAACTTACTGCAAAGTATTGCAAATGTTTTGTAAAATATGCAATAATATGTTACAAAAAGTAAACCCAAAAGAATAGTTTAATTTAAAAGCAATGGTAGTTGAATTATTTAAATATGCAACTTTTGTCTCTTATAGACACTTTATGGGTAGAAGTTACTGTGGAATCAGAAGTGACAATGGCTCTAGCTGAACAATTAGCCGCTTTACCAATACCGAGTAGTAGATTGGAAGATTCAGTTTCACAGGTAAATTAAGATTATAACAATGTTCCTGAATATTTTGTCACCCTTTTTGTAAGATTTAAGATATAAATAAGTATTTGGTAGTATTTATTTGCTATTATAAATTTAAACAGATTATCACTGTATTTATTCATAAAGTTATAAGTGATAAAATACATTGCTTTGAAAGTGCTGTATGAATATATTTAATAAGGATTGTGAAGAAAAACATTATTATGGTTGTTTTATACTATCAGATAATTCTCTGTAATTGAGAAGAATACATGAGTGAATAAATTTGATGTATACAATTTTTCTTTGTTTTCAGGCACCACCACAAGATGACCAAATGTGTTGACATAAAATATTTTGTTGTTATTATCAGCTACTTTCTTTTTATTTATGACGACATGATTTTTTAACATACTTTTTTGACTGTAGCTGTTTTTAACGAAATGAGACTTAATAACAATGACGAATGTACAAATGCTATAAGAATACTTGGGCCAGTTGAGTACTTGGATGATTTTCATATTCTGGGTAGTTTTTTTTTCTATTTAATTGAATATGAAATGATACAATTATTGAATTGGTTCCAAGGACTGTTACATAGCTGTAAGAAATCTATTTGTTATTGTTAAAGATTTACAAAATGTATAAGAAAAACAATTTTATTAGCATCATCTTAGATATAATTTATGTTGTAGTACTGGGTTTTATTTTGTAGAATGTATTTTAAGTAAACATTGTCAGCATAAGTTTAATCATTTATATGCAATGAAATCAATATTTAATTTTTCTGTCATCTTAATCAAGTAATATTTTTTCATGAAACATTTTGATTTCAATAATAAATTATTTTAAAAAATATCTATTTTTCTTTGTTCCAAAAGTTTTTAGAGTTGGTTAATTTATTAAGATAAATTATAGAACTTGTTAGGTGCCCTCAATATAGAACGTCACAGTTTAATAGGGAGGGAGGGTATTATCAAAGTGTGACATTGTGGGTCAAGGGACATTGGAGTCAATAGTTTTGTGATATCACATACTAAAATTTAAAATACTAAAACGCAGTTTGGATGTGAATTGAAAATTTAAAAAAAATATGAATTTATACTAACCATTATTTATTTATGATCTCATGTAATTTCAACTTGTAGAGCTTTATTGTAATGCAAGTGAGACACTCAAATTCATGATAAATTTATTTTAAATGAGGTAATGTAAAAAATAATATGTGACATCACATCATAAGGGGATTCAAAAGTCCTAAAATTCGTATGACAATACTTAATGGATGGGTCTTTATTGAATTTTTTTTTTTCACTCATTTATGGTATTAAAGTAAATATTAACTTCTATATTGCCATTTCCATGTCAATCTTAGGATAAGGGTTATAATTCTTAATGACAAAGTCCTCATATTTAAAGTCATCGATTGAATCAATTTTGCGATTAAACTCTAGAGTTGGGAAAGGTCTTGGTTCTCTTTCAAGTTGTTTCTTTAATGGTTCTATGTGGTTTAGATATACATGGGTATCTCCTGTTGTATGAACAAACTCACCAGCCTGAAAAAGAAAATTGCCCATTACCGTTTTTCTTACAAAATCATACTATATTTGTTGATAAAAAAATTTGGATTACCTCCAAATTTGTGATATGCGCAATCATATGTGTTAACAATGAATAACTGGCAATATTGAATGGAACACCAAGACCCATATCTGCACTTCTTTGATACAAGAGACAACTCAGCTTTCCGTTAGATACATAGAACTGTGCGAGGCAGTGACAAGGTGGGAGTGCCATTAAACTCAGGTCAGCAGGATTCCATGCACACATTATTATACGTCTATCACCAGGGTTTTTCCTAGAATTTAAATATTAATGATAATATGAATAAATCCTATAAATATAAAAAAATTATTGGTGTAGTAAATTATGGTTTAAATTGTATAAATTAGAGTTTACTTGATAGTGTCAATGACATTTTGGAGCTGATCTATTCCTTGTCCAGTGTAATCAGTCTTGGCGTCTATATATTTGGCACCACTGTGTCTCCATTGAAAACCATAAATAGGACCAAGATCACCTATAATATTGAAGTATAAAGATATAGTGGGAATAGTTTTCTTATAGAATATATAAATAAACATGTTACTAAACAACTGCAACTGTTTGTTACCTTCTTCTCTATCTTTGAACCCCAAATTATCAAGAAAAGCTCTGGAACCATTAGCATCCCATATATGCACACCTTTGCTAGCTAGTTTTTTACTGTCAGTCGAACCGGATATCATCCACAAAAGTTCTTCTATAACTCCTCTGACAAAAACTCTTTTTGTTGTGAGTAAAGGCAAAGTATTATTTTTTAAAGAATACCTTTGTACTGATCCAAATACAGATAAGGTTCCAACACCTGTTCTGTCATTACGTTTGTCGCCTACAAATAAAATAAATTTCACTTTCATAAGGTTTACATTATTATAAAAAGTTCTTCACTTCCTTTTACCTGTTTCAATAATATTTCTAATGAGGTTTAGGTATTGATATTCATCATGTTGTGTATGAAAACCATTGGTTAATGACATATTTGTTAATCGAGATATTGGTAGATACAGTTTAGTAAAGAAATTGTATGATTTTACTTGGAAGCACGATTTGGCGCGAAAAAATAAGAACATAGGGGTTTTGTATTGTCACACTAAAGTCAATAGAGTATAGAATATTTTCTTTGATCTTAATTTTGGTTATCTGTGAACAGGCTATTTGAAATGTTGCTAATGGTTACCTATAATTTTATAATAATTTTTAAGCCTTGAAATATCGGTAGAGATATTCACGAATCCCTCTTCATATAGATCAGTTTAAATAACCACACTTTACATTGACGAAATCTACAAGGAAAAGCTAATAACTGAAAGAATAGAATAGAAAATCCCAGTAAATATGTGTTGTAGTGGTGGAATATAATTGTCAAATTATGTGGTTTCTAACTGTGAGAAGAAGCGACTTAAAATATATCATGAATGTTTTTATTATAGGGATTTTTAACAAGATAGGAAAAAGATAGGCTAAAAAAAATCAGCAAAACGTTAAAAATGCCCTCTCTTGAAGCACCAAGTGTAGATATTGGTTCAGCTCCGCGTACACCGAGTGTTATTATATCACCAACACCTTCGGAGGTGTCAAGTGCAAGTTCACCTGAACCCCAAAATGTTCGAGCGACACCACTCTTCAGGTTTTAGATTGCGATTAATATATAGATAGATTTTTTAAATAAATCATTTATTACATTCAAATGTAGATTAAAGAGGGAACAAGCTAATTCTTTTTCGCTGTTAAAGTAAAAGTGATAAAATTTTATTGCATCACAATAGCATTGACTACAATAGACAATCTGGGGAGAAGGAGGACATTTTAAATATATGTTAGGATTACAATATACCTACATTCGTATTTGTGTATTCTGTTTAACTCGTCCTTTTCATTACTTGATACTTTCATGTAAAGGTGTAGCCTAAATAAATTCCATATTATACAAAATACACGAATTATTAAATACGACGTCCAAGATTTTTATAAATATTTAGTAATTTTGAAAATAAAAAAATATTTTTCACATATATTTACATAGAAGTTGAATATTTAGCCTGCTGTTTTTCTTTTTAATATATTTAATTTCAAATTTCAATAAGGTGCTCCAATAACGATATAAAGCAGCTCGACGTGTCTGTTTAATAAATTAAAGTATTCTCACTTTAAAGAGCTTTAGCAATGAGACCGCCTGAACCAGAGCAGCCTCCTGGACAAGACGAATTAGAACGTAGGTTACCGGGATATAGGAGAATTGTTATTCCACGTGAATTAACACTCATTGAACTGTTGGTAAGAAAGCAAACAAGGAAAAAATGTTAAATATCTTACTTATATTCTCTAATTCTCCGCGTAAGTATGCAAAATTGTCTCTATGTCTGGCTCTTTTTTGGGAGATTATGATTTTTTTGGTCCATTTAATTCTAAAATAATAATTGCGACTATGTTTTTGCAGAAACAATGCAGTGGTGTAACCACGGATGAGGAGGTACTTTCAATACGTGAAGCTAAATTGCGGGTAGTAGCGGAGAGGGTGGGCTTACGACGTCTTCACGTGCTTGTTCCACATTTAAAATCTCTCATTTTAGATGGCAGTGCACTCACCTCGCTGCGGGATCTTGGCATTGGCTTGGTTCATCTGAAAGTTTGTGTTATGTATTACATATAAGCGAAATTTAGAAGTTACACGAACATTATTTCCCTATTGAACCCACCTGGTCATTCTCTGTAGAAATTAAGTGTCAGCCGTTGTGGATTAACATCGTTGGACGGTGTGTGGGGTCTGAATTCGTTACGAGAACTTCACGCGTCCGGGAATCGTTTGAAGGACTTTCATCAATTGGCGGCTCTGCAAAAATTACATACATTAGATTTGGCTGAGTTAGTTTTGCTATATACATTATTATTATATGTTGATATTATATGTAGATAGTATTTTTTATATTACATTATATCGCAGTAATTTAATCGAAGAATCTAACCGACTATGGACTTTGGGAGTTTGCAATGCTTTACGTAAACTGACACTAAGAGGATCTCCTATAGCTGATATTATAAATTACCGTTCTGTCGTCGCGTCCGCTTTGCCAATGCTGAATGTTCTGGATGATAGCCCACTAAATGCTTATGAAGGTATTTTATTATAATAAGAATATTTTGCATCTCAGCAACAAAAATATTCGAAAGGATTTGTCTCCTACGTGCTTTGCCAAATAACTTTCTATGTCCATACGTAAGAAAATTGAAACTTAATAATACTTCAATAATTACTTCACTTAGATGAATATATCCCGGAAGGAGACAGCGATAGTGCAGAGAGTGATATTGAGGCTGAGGGTGTGGCAAACCAGACACAATCGGGTGAAAAGGAACAGCAAACATCACAAGCTGGACCTTCAAAGGAAACAAATCAGGTGCAAAACAACATATTATATACATTAAACTCCAAATTGAGGAAACTATGAATTTATGGTGAAGATTATATCAAAGACAAAGTCTAACACTAACCTTGTCTAATATAAATTCCTTATACTTTCAGAAGGAGATCATAAGATCCCAAATATCGACAAGGCGGCGTCCTGCCACCACGGAGTGTGGAGGTCAACGACCGGAACGACCAGAAATTAAACGACGACCACGGACAGCTCTCGACAGGACCATCGACAGTTGCACCCGCCTACAGATTATGAATACTCTAATGGGTGAGGAATTGAGGATATGACAGGAACATGAGTGTTGGTAATATATTCTTATACACAATGATTAATGTGAACTTTAAAAAAACAATGTCTGTCCGATCACCCTTATTCAAAAAATTTTCGTATGTATTATATAAGTAGGAGTTGTTAACAAGGGATGAGTGATTTTTCATGTCGAGAAGCCTTTACTGTAGTTTTTAGGCGAAGTAAGATGGGTTGGTAAAATTAAATTTAAATAATTTTATAGAAATGCTAAAATATTCTATAGATTAATACCAGTTTTATAAGGAAATGGACTTGATGAGATGGTTCCGACCATTACAATTTCTATTAAATATAAGTGTTTCTTTATATGAAAATATTAAATTTAGACTAATAGAATTTAACCATAGTTAAGAAAGTGACCATAAGTTTTAAATAAATAGAAATCTAGAATAAATTAGCAATTATGATAGGGACAGTTGCTAATTAAAGTTTAGGCAACCCAATTTTAATGTTTTGGTTTAGATTAATATAGTCAGACATTGGCACTAAAAAGTGATGATAGAATATTTATAAGTCATAGCTTAAAAACTATTATTTTTTATAATACATATTATACAAAAGCTTGTATTCTGCCAGTGATTGCCTTTAGCATAATATGAAAACTGAAAAAAATTAAGTATTTATTTTATATAATCTGTTTAAAATACTATGCTAACTATATTTTTTTTTTACAAATTGTGACTCAATAATTATTTTTTTAAATGAAAGTTAACAATGTAATTAATATAGAAAAACATGGATTGTTAATCCAAATTTTCCAGCGTTCATTTATTATTTTCAGAGCTGACAATAATTTGTCAAAAAAATGAATTTAAATTTCATTTTCTTACTCTATACTTATATGCTTGACAAACTTGAAATGGTTAAATTTAAATATTTATTTATATATATTTTTTTTCGACATCATGAGTTTCGTAGACCTCATAATATGTCAACAAATATAGCAGTAAGATATTTGTCAGAAACTAATTGTGGCTTGTTATTAAATATTGTACTAAAGTATGAGACTAGAATTTCCAATAGCGTGGGCTAACGATACGTTCATGTTACGTCTGTGGTTACGTAATATGAAAGTGGTTTGTTGAATTTAACATGTCAACATGTAACTGTTTTATTTGCTCTTGCGACCTCCTTAACTTGACCCAAAATATCGATGGATATTCATCTCGTTTGTTATTATGGAATTTATAGGGTTATGTTAAAGATGTTTCGAAACTAATATTTTGCAGTTCAAAGAAGCACTTTAAGACGGCTTTATTATAGACGAAGTAGAATAAGGACTACCAGATATTAAGCGTTTAACAAAAAATATATTTAGAAATGTAATAGATATAGATTTTCGTAAATTATTACACAGTTTTACTATGTAGTACCTACATACTTAACCAGCACCTATAATTCTGACAGTACATTTCTATATTTATTCTTACTTTATATTTACTTATTTGTTGTGTTGATATTAAGATGATTGATTTAAGTTTCAAGTCATACTATGATAATTATATATTTAAGAATTTAAAAAATATGACTTTTTTGTAAGGTGAATATTTACCGCTCTGTTTTAGATGACGAGTGGTGCAGCGCTGGTAGTAAATTGACATCTTATAACGCTGTTGGCGGGAACATCGCTAGAGCACTACGAGGATCAGCCAGGAATAAACTACGAGATTCCGGTATGATGCGTACAAATAGGATCTAAAATAATATATAATTCAATATATTAAACAAAATATTCGTGAGAGACAACCGCATTTAGCCGGTGTACAACTATCGCAGGTATTCAGTTCTTAATGTGAGTTTGTTGTGTCAAATGTTAAAAGACGAAAATATCGTCTTTACGTTGATAAAGAAAATCTTTTTAGGATACAATTAGATTCATATAGATTAGAAAGAGATTGTAGTTGTAAACAAAAAAAGTTAGAAGAAAAGAAACTTTACAATTATGATTTTATATACATATTAAAAAATTCGAACTGTTAATTTCAAGTCAAACAATCATCAACAACATAATAATATATACTCAAGACTCACGATATTCACATGTTAGAACAAATAGGTTCTTTCCTTTGTATGAATAACTCATTATGAACTATTTCGAACTAATAGTTGAAATTAAAAATAACTATAATAATATGCAAAATCGCACAAAGAAGCAAACTATGCACTGAGTGGAGTTCATTTTGTGATAACCTTCTTTGTAGATTATAATTATTAATAAATGAGATAAATATAATTTCTCTTTTATCTGTATTATGGATATGTAGAAAATCTCGTTTATAGACATACTGACTCAATTATTTTCTCAAAGTAGTTGGTTATGTGATATACATTTATTAGAACTAATACTTTATAACGTATTAGTTTCTGCTTGCAACTTCGTCTGCCTCAGATTCGGAAAGTTAAATGTGTGGATGACCGTGCGAATTTTGTTCCGCTTTAGAGGTCGTAAATGAGCAGATTTTGGATATTACTACGTTTTTTTCCAGTCTATATGTATATGTCCCTCTGCTGGTTCTAAACTATCTTCCCACTTTACAGCCAAATCCATCCAGACGTCCTTGAATTATAAATAGTGTAACTAACACGACTCTCTTTTATTTATGTATGTACTAGCTTTTGATCGCGACTTTGTCCGCGTTAGTTTCATAATTAGTAATGTATAGCCGACCAGGGGAACTGTTTCGATAGATAAGCATTACATAATAGAAACTTCATAAGAATCAGTTTATACTTATGATTGGATAAGAGTTTTTTTTATTGTAACCCATACGCTAACAAGTTTAATTTACACAAGTCATCGTGTACTGACTTTTACACTTTAAATTTCTCTTCCAATACCCTCTCTGTTGACTGTATAGTAACTGTCTTTATATAGATTACTTAATATTTTATTTATTCTTGAATGCTCTTTTATATACTATTATTAAGTCACACATACTTTTTTTACAGCTGCAAAAATAACACGCCTCTAATAAAACTTGATCATAATATTTGTTAATGGGTAAAGATGTTAATGTGAATTACATTCATAGTTCCTTTCTCAATTGAGAAATGACCAAACATAGTATAGATTATTATAGACTGTACACAATAGTATTCGTTTGATGTATTGACACTTTTAGTTTGTTTTCCTCAACGTACTTTGTACTAGTTAATACTTATCCCAATAATTATTTTTAATATTATTCGGATTAAGGAGTAGTGTAATAGTTATGAAATAATATTTTGATTTAAATATTTAGTTGAGGCTGAACTACAACTAGTATCACAGAGTATGGAGGCAGATAGTCGGGCTCTGGCTGCGGAAATACCACGAGCACCAGAACCAACGCAATGGGACAGGTTCAGACTTGAGACGGGGTAATGGATATGTTTAATTTGTCATCTATATATCCAAGAAATAATACATTAGGGTGGTAGAGCCTAGATGTGGTAAAGTTACTGCTGCTTGAACTACGACCCCCACACCGAAGATCGGCTTGAAGTAGTCTTTAATGACTGCGTTTCGTTCGATGAGTGAGAGAGCCGGTTGCCCTTTCCCTTTTCCCATCCTTTCCAACCCCTTCCCATTTTTCCTCCCCCTCTTCCCAAACCAAGGGTGGAGACACATCCGCAAATTTATTTTGCGGATGTCTACAGAGGATTAAAACTACCTCCATCGGGTAGACCGTCTGATCAGTTGCAGCCTCTAAAATAAAAAAATTGTTGTAAAGAAAGAATTATTTTTAGATGATATAATTTCTTTTTGTCGAACCATATTATCATTTAATTATTAATAACTATGAATCGTGTGTATCGTGTTGTTTTTTTTTTTAACTCATAATAATTTTTTTTACTTGCAGTATTGAAATAGATATAGATTTCAACAAGAGACCGAAGGATGTCGATCCATCGGAAGTTCTAGATAAGATCGAGAGGATTGAAAAGGAAACTATGGAAAGACTCGGGAGACCAGAACAAGATGTAGCTGGCTATAGTTCATTAATGACGGATACTTCTAGAATATATACAGGCATCAGAGACGATGATCTGTGGAAGCAAATTGAAGACCTGAAGGTGTCTTCAGACCCGCCGACAAACGTCGACGAACTCTTTAAAAATATTATACCCTAAAGTTAATACAGGATCGGTTTCCTCTCGGAGTTTTTTTTCGTCCACCACATAAGTAGCGTTTATGGCAATTATGATTTTTTTTTAACTTTTTTTAGTTACAAAAATTTTATAGTTAATAATAATAAATATTATATACGTAATCATCATAACACATTGCGTGAAACGAAACGTATATAGTATTGTAAAGTGTTAATATTAAATCACCTTAAACTTTCGAAATTTTATCGCAAAAAATGTATGACGTCATATTCAGTTATTAAATGACTAGCGGTAAATCAATTTGACTTACGTTCAAAAATTACGAATAAACGGACTTAGAAATCGTTCCATCATATTTGAAATCATATAATGGTATTATATATACCTATGTAGGTACATACTTTTTTTTATATTAGAATTTAAAATAACTTGTATATCAAATAACTATACCTTAAATCAAGTTTGACAATCATGTGACACGATTATGACATATTCTATTGATATTTTTTATCATTACATAGGTATTTGCCTTGTACATTTATATGTGCTTTTATCAATAAATTATACCTACTTAGATGTCTGAGTAAAACTATTATCATTAGATCTTATCATTTATCATCACGCTATGTAGTGAAACTCTTTGGAATTAACTATTACTAGAAATAAAGTATTATGTAAGCCATAGAAAGGGCTCTTTTGAAAATATTAGTATCTTATAAAATAATTCAAAATTTCTGATTAACCGAAAGCTTACAAGTAGGTAATTTGCATATTATTTTTTTTTACGTCATTAACGTGTTTTTCCGTTTTTTTCGTAACAATGTCATCAGTGACCTTAGTATGAATTTGCATCGTCATAATAAACTTTTATACTATCCGAAGGACATACGTATATTTTTATGACAAATGTAGACATACATATTTTTATGAAAAATATTTTAAATTGTTGAAACAAGCAGACTAGTGTTAAATTTTCTACTAGAAAAATGTCAATAAAGACAAATATTTAATTGTCATGCTGTCACAATTGTGTTATATGAAGCGTTTAGAAATTTATATAGATTTTAATTTAATAAAAAAAAAGAATATGTACAAAAATAATAAATGTAATTTATTTTGGGTTTAGAAGTCTTATATGAAGTTAGAAAAGATAATTTATGTTATAAAAATCAGTTATGTTCTTTTAAAAACCTTGTCATAATACTCAAGTAGGTATTATGACGCTTTGTATTACCTTGATTTTTTAATAAACTATAATCTGTTAGTCTTATCTTTTATTGATTTTGGAATAAAAACAGTCTACCAAGATTTTCAGCACGAATGGGGAAGTGTTTTGAAGAATTGTTTGGTAGATATATTGCCATCGTGACCATTCAACCATCGCACTACCCGCCGTAGGGTTAGATTTCATCGACATCATCTAGATTCTAGATGCTTGTAATTGCGACTGTACGTGCGTCTGGGGTACGTAATCTGGGGTTCTTCAAACATCAAGTGTTCAGGTGGCTCCTTTACAAACAAGGCCGGCAATTCGTCTACAACACCTCTTATGTTGCATATGTCCATCGGCGATGGTGTTTACTTTCCGTCATGTAGATCGTCTGCCCGTTAGCCCCTTTGGGTAATATGTAAACAAAACAGAATGAAAGGTGAAATCCCCTATATAATTTTATTTTTAATGGTTAATTTTCACGGCGAAATGTTAGTGCTGAAAATCCTATCAATGGGGTGCTATAAAGAAATAACAAATGTCAAGTTTACAAAAGATGTGTATAACTTAATAAATAAAAAAGTTTATATTGTTCAACGAATATGTGATGTGCTGTACGAAATGTACCTATATACTTATGTTAGGTATTGTCCTATAATGAGATGAAAATACATTTAAAATTTAAAAAAACCTTATGGTTTACTCCAAACATATTTACATTACAAGACAGATAAATTCTTGTATAAAAACAATCTTATTACAGAATTAGTTTTTAACGGTACGATAAAAAAAAGGAATAAAAACTATAATTAACTCATTAGTATACACAATATAGCAGGAAATAATGGTTCTTTAAATTTTATTTAAATAAAAAAACTCTAAATCAAATATAGTCGAACTATAAAAATATAAACTGTTTCGTAAAAGTCGTTTCAAATGGCACCCTAGTTGTCATTTATGTTTTGTCAGTCAGTGAGGTTCTAGCTCTCGGTGTAAATAGACGTGTTACGATGAGTTCTGTCGTCATATATCGGTTTATGCTCGCAAACGCGCTAACTTTATATTATTCGTTTGTTGCGCTTATCGTTATAACATTAAATTATTTGAAAAATCCCTTCCAAAAACCTCCTCTCCGATTAGTGCCTCCTGCGCAGCTTACTGATCCGAAATATGGTGTTCATAAATATATTAAAGCAAATGTAAGTAATAATTATATTGTTGGATATATTAAATATTTTGATAGACATAATAAATGTGTTATATATTTTTTATGTGGAAATATTTTTGAATAATATGTATTAAATATATTTTTTTAATATATATAAGGTTTGCTTCTACATATTAAAACTTACAAATACAAAGGTATAATTTGGTTTAGAGACTTCTGGAATAGATTCCTTAATATTATTGAAACAATTTTATTAAATATCAATTAAATCTTTCATAATTTTTATTTTGGAGCAAAACATTTGGAAGATGTACAATAAGAGTTTTAATTGCTACGATTATTTTAACGTTTACCTATTCACTTGGTTCTTGTTAACATAATATATTGCTAAGTTTTTCACTTTTTTAAATTAAGAATAATTTTATATGTTTATTTTATATCGGTAATTATTAACGAAATTTTAAATTTAGACAATTCTTGTTATATCATTGTAACTTAAAATTAACCCACCCAGCAACTGACAAATAAATAAGGTGAAAAGCTTACTTTCTTTAATTGGATTTTAATCATAATTGAACAAGCTGACACCAAGGTCGTACCAAGTTTATAAATAAAATTATTTGTTTAAATGCATTCTTATGATGATTTGTATACAATCAGATAGACCACCACAAACTGTTGCAGATTGTAATTTTCTATTTATCACTGTGTACTATTATGAAAAAAATATAAAGCCAAGTATTGCTTATGAAACCTACGAAAGTTAAATAATTTAAAACCAAAAAATCCCGATGACATAAGAAGGCGTTTATAACAATTAATTAATTAATATAATTTAAATTTCACTCTTTACATGGATATATATTTGAATTTTTATGAAAGTTACCTTTGGTATGAAAGGTACCTTTTTTTACTATGTTCTTTATTTTTATGTTATCATTGGATCAACACTGTAAGGGTACCAACTCTTTTCCAAAAACGAGTAATTTCGCCACATGACAACTCGATTATACTCGAATGGTGTTCCTCTTTAATTTTTTTTTGTTATTCTACCTGCTTAATATTTTTGTTCTAAGAGGTTTTATATATTTTATTGACTCACTTTTTGTAACGAGATCTTATAGTGAGCTTCTTTTATTCTTAATGTCTATTGTGATACATTAATGCTAGTGTTTTTAGGTCTAAGATACCTACAAAAATAAAATATGTATTACATACGTGAAAGATTCAGTCATCAGTGTGTGCACTAAATGCCGATATTTGTCACTATGTAACGAAGCCTACTAAATAAAAATTTCATAACACTTTGTTAGTATTGCCTAAAGATAAATAAATTGGTTGTTTGTAAAGTAGGTTTACGATCGAGATGTTTACGTGATAACGTCTTATTGGTGATATAAGTTTTTGGGAAGTAAGGAATTAATGAAGATAACAATTTTTTCAAATTTTAAATTACATTTATCGTTTCATTCACACTTTTGATGATAAATTTCGGGTGTAAAATGACAAGTTTACTTATTCGACTATGATATACATTTTTCTTCATGCATACATTCATACAAACATACTTTTATACATTTATACAAACATTTATGCATACATACATAATGTAGGTACATAACATACAATACGATCAGTTACAATCAGTTAAAATCTCCATTCGTTTGTATGCCGCTAGAGTGAGAGAGACGGAAGTCGGTCCGTCTCTCTCTCGTTATACCTGCGATCGCGCTCGTGAGGTTTTGGTGACACAAGTTTCTGAACTAGAACCCGACTAAAACGATTTTAAAGACGTTATCACGTCAAAATGAATACAACCCCGTATTTTACGAAATATCTAACACGATAATTGCTTCGCATTTTTAATTTGTATAAAGACACATACTTATCTATTATTATTATCTATTACTATAGATGCCGTTTTCGAGATTTACTTAAATTCATATATATTTTCAAAAGCCACAGTTTATTTCTTCGAGCCCAATTCTTAATGTTATGAGAAGGAAATCTCAGGAAACAATCAATAACATTAAAAACTCATCTTATAGTAGACTTTAATTTGTAATCATCTTACATAATTTGGAATAAATATGCTTACAAGAAATTACTTTTTAATGCCCAAATACAGTGCTCTTAAGATCAATATCTTTTTTTATATCTATTTTATGTATCCCAATCTTTTTGTATTAATGTTATAATCATTGGTGGAAGTCATTAAATTTATCGATGAAGAATAGATATCAAAAGTACTAAATTAACACATCTGGTCATTATTGCAGATAATATTTTTGTAACTTAACTGTCTTATGTAATAATTGCTTTATCCATATAATGAATTTTTATACTGTTTTCAGAAAAGCTATATACTAAAATTAATTACAAAATTCATCAAACTTTATTAACATTTATTTTTTTATGTAATTAATTTACTCGTTACGATAATAAATTTTGAAATGTCGGTGGTTTATATTTATTAGATGCATAGACGACTTATTATCCAAGACTAAATTAAAAAATAAAACATAATTTATATTACACGCTAAAAAAATATATATAACAATAGAATTCATACAGTGAAATCGTATTTATCATTTTTGGGAACAAAATATCTACCTAACAACTGTCACCTTAAAAATTCGTTCGAACCACGAACATTCTTGAAAACAAAGGAACAACAAAAAAAATTTGTGTTATTGTATCTTATGCTGAGGTTAAAACTGTATTAATTACTTTAATATTGCATTCATTAACATAAAATATACATAACATCTTATTGTAAATAAATGTATATATCATATAATTTTTGTATATAGGATATCCTGCTTAAATAAAAGAATTAGCAAATATTTTTAATTTATTTTTTTTAGTTTGAGGAAAATATATAGCAGTGATAATAATTCTTAAATTTTTGCTTTTTTGTAAAACAACGAAACGAAGGTTACACCCCAATTAACTTTTTTATGCTGGAGTAAGGTTAGCCAACAGTAATCATTGTGAATATTTTTTAAGTTTTTTTGTAAATTATTAGATATTAAAGAATAATTAAAAACTTACTGTACTGTAAATTAAATTAAAAGGTAGCAAGAAGATAAAATGGTGACTTAGTAATTACTGTATAGTTTGTTTTTATTACTATTTGTTAGGTAACTTACTTGTACACTAAAATTTAAATTTCCAACAACTAGGCGTATTTATAAGGAAAAAAAAACGACCGTTAAAAATGCTTTGTGGAATCCATTTTTTTTATTAGGTTAATCAAATGTTTATTAATCTGATATTATGGAACCAACACAAACTTTTTTTTTATTTTTCTATCAGATATTTTTGTACACTAAAACCAAACTTACACAGCCATATACGCTTATAATTAAACGTGTCCTGTAATTATTCTGTATGTTCCGTCAGTTTAAATGATACCTAGTTTAAGTTTCTACTGGTTCATTCTGAACTGGTTTCAAAGACAAAAAGGTTATTGCTCTATAATCTACATGATAACATATTAGAAAGGAAAACTTGGACTTCAGCTTTATTTACTTTACCAAAGTGACTAATATTTACGGTAGGCAATTTACCATTGACACAAATATATATAATATGTAATTTAAAACAAGCATTCATTTGTACTCATAAGAGTTTTGCGGAATTGTTAAACCAGAAAGCGGAACGTCTAACATACCTAATACATTATTCCATACACGACTAGTCATTCGTAGTTATAAGTGCGAGCAATGACGTAAACAGACAGTTAAACAATTGTTTCTATTCAAACGTATGTCTGTGTTAGATTTTTTTTATGAAATAAAACGTGAATGATTTTAATTCATTCATACGCAGCTTTGATAAATGCATACAGACCAAACAAGATATTGTACGTTTAGTGAATTTAAACTTGTATAAATTCACCTATTTTAGATGTCCCGTTGCCGACATTTCAACGAGGGAAAACCGGCCATATTTGGCTTAATTATATAATTCATAATGTAGACTTTAGATAAATGAGCTAGACAAAAGACGAAAAAAAATTGTTAGAAATTAAGTCATGATTTGTTAAAACAGTACTAACAGCTTTATTTTGTTACTTCTTCGTATGTCAAAACCATAATTTAATAACACGAAAGTTTTGATGACAAGAATATTCTATGAAACTATTTAGATTGTGAAGAAGTCTATATTCAATATATTATAATTGTTTTCGTTTCAGAATACAACACTTCATTACGTAGGCAGCGGAGACCCAGCGAAACCTTTAATGCTCTTCTTGCATGGGTTCCCGGAGTTCTGGTACTTATGGCGACATCAAATCGTACACTTCAATAAGAAATACAGGTTAAAAATTAGTGATAAATACGCCGTTCCCAACAAGTCTGCATCGTCATACTATATAAAGAGCAGCAGTAGAAATTTTTCATTCTATAATCCTCCCAGATTATAGTATGAAAGTTCGTTATTCATTTGGAAACAGAGACGATTCTTACAGTGTGAAAGTTTCCTTATTTTCGTTTATAAGTTTTCCCATGTCAATACCCTTTGTATGTTGTTTGTTGATACGAATTTATTGTCTTTCTTATGGGCTGAAACACGTTACCTTGCAGAGGAGTAGTCTATCAATAGGTATCGTTTGATAATTTCTCATTATCGTCAATAATAAACTAAATAATATTAACATTTAGGAAAAGGATTTCTGAGGGATTTTTTCGTTAAAATGGAACCAAAGATCACAAAACTGTTATATTATTATGTTTGATAGAATATTGACGTTGCTTCATCATATGGATCGTGGACCTACCATAAAATAATAAAATTTTATATAACAGTTCCATAAATTAAAGTCAAATTATAATATTCACGTTACATGTAAATAATGTTTACATATTAAAATACAGATCAAATTCATAAAGCCTTGATCTTGTAAATTTCATTAAAAAAAATTATATTACACTGCGGTTTCCTTTTCCGTGTTTGTTTTTTTGCGATAAAAAAAAATAAAACAATTATAACTATTTAAAAAATATTAATAAATATAATTAAAACTATATGCTTAGTCTAAGTTTGCATCGTCACGCTACATAGGGAACGTAATTTTTTTTTTATTAATACAACATTTATCATAGTATAAACCTGTTATTATTCGACTAAGGATAGAGATGATATAAATATTGTGAATTTTAGTTTTGGTTTACTAATTCCTTCTAAACAAATAATGGTAGTTATTTCTAATTTATATAATATTTTAGATGCGTGGCAGTAGACATGAGAGGCTATGGAGATTCAGAGCGTCCTGATGATGTGTCATCGTACAAGTTGGAGTTATTGATCGAGGACATAAGGGACCTTATAAAACAGCTCGGTTAGTTATATAAAATATAAGTATATTAAAACAATTAAAGATTTCCTCGTAATTTACTTTTACGATTTCTCAAATAGAATAATATTAATCATGTTAAAATTTATTAAATATTAATTTTACGAAGTAATGTTATTGATTTAATAATTATATTATCTAGTTGTCCAAACTATAAATGTAAATAGAGAAAGAGAATTATTAGACATATACTAGAATATACATTCCAGGTACAAAGGGGTGTTTGTCCCTAAGGACTAACAAACCTTTGTACCGGGATAGGTGTTAATGTCGTAACATTCTACTAGATTTCTTCATAATGTAATATTTTTGAACAGTAGGTAGTCTCATCTAGAATGTAGAAATATAACATAAGGGAATTAAATTATTTTACTTTATGCAAAAATAAACTTTCATTGTTGACTATAGTACGTCAAATCAAACGATAGGGCGAGCACTTAAATATTTATGTGGTAATTGTGGTAAATTATATCGAAGGTCATGATAAGTGTATCCTCGTATCTCACGACTGGGGCGGCGTGGTTGCTTGCCGGCTCCGTGACGTGTACCCCGAAGTTTTGAGCGGCTTGATTGTACTAGGCAGTACTGAACACAGCTTGTGGGTAGACACCTTGTATAACAACGCCGAACAGAGGAAAAAATCATGGTAAATTATGATAATTTACTTACAAAACTAGTATATTTATGTGTAATTTTTATGATAACAAAATTTTATGGTAAAAAAATCTAAATTTAAGAATGACAATTTGTATTTTATAATAATTTATTGATAGTTTAAGATAATATTATACATTATATATTTCAAAAACTTTGAAGGAAAAATCATTTAAAAGGAACTTATATTTTGTAACTTGTCACTTAATAGTCTCTACAAATACAAGTTTCTGGAATGTTTTTTTTCGAAGGATTAAATCTTCTTCGTCTCATCAGCCTCTTATAAAATTTTACTTCACGTCTTCAAGCGTAAAAATAAGTGATATTTTAGGTAAACTTGTTTAAAATCTATACCAATAAGAATAGATATTCATCCAATATATTTTCAGGTACATATTTTTATTTAGAATGCCCTGGATACCGGAGAAAATGATGCAAATCAATGATTTGGAAGTCTTTGAGAGATCAATGCTCGGTGGAAGTGGTGTAACTAAAGATGATATAGAATGCTTCAAATATTGGTTCAGGAAACACAGTAAGTATGAGTAACTATTATAAATTTCATTTAAATCTGTTCAGCAATTAACAAATGGAAAGAAACAAGTTACTATGTAGTTACGTAAACTATATAGGTATGCTTATACAGGGTGACTGGTGAATTACTATCGATATTTGAGGAAGTGATATTTGACGATCATATATGACAAAATAAAAATTAATATAACATAAATATTAATAAACTTCTAAGTAAAGTTAACCAAAAGATTTGTAATTAATTACGCATCGTATGAACACCCTACAGATTAGGTATACACACACACACACACTCGCGCGCGGCGGCGTGTTGTTGTATCAGCACGCCGCCGCACGCGTCCACACTTGGAACACTTGGAACGTGTACACATTTTATTTATTTATACGGAAATTTGGTCAAAAATTAAGTACCTATTTTTTTTACATAATTCGAATGAGAATCATGTACCGAGTATGCTCCTTAAATATTGATAGTAATTCACCAGTCACCCTGTATAATATCACTGTTGAATTAACACACATAAAATTCTTCAAATAATAATCACCATATTTTGCTACAAGATTTATTATTGAAGAGAAATATGTGCTTATTTTCTTTACAGCGGCCATGACGCCTCCAATAAATTACTATAGGGCTAATTTCAAATATTCAGCGGAAATTAAACATCACGATGAAAAAGTGCCATTCCTTTTCGCTCACGGCAGTAATGAGAGATATCTTATAAGTTCGTTGTTGGAACGCATGAAGGAACAATATTCTGTCATCGAGACAGCCATCGTTGAGGGCGCTGGACACTTTTTACCACAAACAGAACCGGAGCAAACAAACAAGCTTATAGACGAATTCTTAGAAAAGCACAGTCTGTGATTTCATTAGTGTTTATATTTGTTCTTATGACCTCCAAATTGTAATACATTTCACAATATAGTAACATTTAAACAACTTCTCTTTACTTTTTATACCGTTATAGTCTATAGATTTATGTATATAGATTACCAACAATTTTTTAGGCTTAATGGTGAAGTCGTTTTATGTAAATATATTCTATTAAACAAGAGTTCTGAAAATGTGTTTTATTTTTCCTTGAACATAATTACCGTCGAATTGTTACTTTGTATATATATTGTTCATATTTAATAAATTCTTTACAATTTGTATAAGCAATACTAATATTTATATTATTATAATAGCCGTCATGAGATATCATGATAGGCAGAAATAAAATAAAAAATGCTCTCATGGAACAATCAATAATAATAATTAATCAATATAAATTCAATAGTATTGAAATATAATTAACAGTACCTACCTACTGTTTTAAGTTCATTACATATGTTAAGTCTGAGTTTGTATCGTCATACTAGAAGTGTTTATTGTTCTCATTAAAAAGTAGCTTACGTTAATATTACGTGCGATTATTTACGAATGAGAAACTGTTAACGCTCCGTATTTAGCTTGATGATGGCAATTCAAACTAACCATATAGACCCCGTGTTAGAAAACTTTATACGACTATTTATACCCCGTAGTTGCCAGTGTTAGAAAACTTTATACGACTATTTCGCTTTCTATTTCAAAATCTCTGAACTCCTCACCTGTGACATCAATAACTTCGTCTTTAATGCGTCTGTACGTAATAAAAACTTAATATTCCGACATTCTTATAATACCTAATTTCAAACTATTAATCACACAAAAATCCCTATAAGTATGGTGTATATATAGATATTATTAAGTCAAGTATTGTTGTTTTCGCATCGGAATAATTTTAAGTTTTATTACCTATAGGTATTGTTTGTCCTTTACCTTCAAACCTATTTTAAAACATTACTTTTATTTTTTTACTATACAGGGTGACTGGTGAATTACTATCGATATTTGAGGACGTGATATTTGACGATCATATATGACAAAATAAAAATTAATATAACATAAATATTAATAAACTTCTAAGTAAAGTTAACCAAAAGTTATGTAATTAATTACGCATCGTGTGAACACCCTACAGATTAGGTATACACACACACTCACACAGACGCGGCGGCGGCGTAGTGTTGTATCAGCACGCCGCCGCACGCGTCCACACTTGGAACACTTGGAACGTGTACACACTTTATTTATTTATACGGAAATTTGGTCAAAAATTAAGTACCAATTTTTTTTACATAATTCGAATGAGAATCATGTACCGAGTATGCTCCTTAAATATTGATAGTAATTCACCAGTCACCCTGTATACTTATGTATTTAGAATATTAAAATCACAACTATGATTATAACAAGTATCTCTTCAGACCTTCTTAGAAAAACAATATATATATGTACTTCAAAAGAAAAATTTATCACATTCAAATTTAAGAAAAATCTTTTGATAACGAATAGCGATATTGAATGAATACCTACAAAATATCTGAAACCCCGGGACAGTTGACTCTTTCAGATATGATATTCAGTTTAAAAGAAAATGATGCCGGCTTTTTGCTAACATTTTATTTATAGCTTCAATATAACTGGAGCTGGGTTCAATGTCTTTTTAGATATGGAAATAAAGACATACTTTTATAATATGGAAACATAAGTTTAGTCGAGAGTACAAAATGTCTACAGATACAATTCAAGAAACAAAATGTTTACTGAAAATACTTCATATTACATAGATAGGTAAGTTATCACGTCCAAAATAGTCAATTAGACCCCTTAATATAGAAATGGGCCCCATAAAAATTGTTTTTTCTAGAAAAATGTTAAGGAAGATGTAATTAACTAAGAAATATTTGCACACTGTAAGCAACCATTGGAAAGTTTTTGCAATTACATATTTGATTATCATAATAAAAGTAAATAAAGATTCTTTGTATAAATAAGTTTCTTTTATTTAAATAACGGTCCTTGTGAATGCTACGATCAAGGTCATGTCATAAATGTAATGTTGATAAATTAAGTTGTCAACATTGTTTGCTATTGTTAGAAGTCTGTCTCTTTTACTCCTTCGGAAAAGTACACGGTGGACATGAACAGATTTTGCTTCGTCTGTCAATTAAATTTACAGCCATAATATAGGCTAAAGCTAATGGCCGCCCAAGTATAATGTAAAACAGCTGATGTGCGTCGTTTGGAGTTTATAATTGCAGTTCATGTTTCTTTGATTTAAACTTACAATATATATTAGATGGTAGGCTACTTGTGTCACTACTTTGTGTGGAGATCAGGGTTTGTGTTCTTAAAAAGTTAAAAATGATTGGATCAAAGAATAGAATGTATTGTAGATTGTTGGTTTTTTCAGATGTCACTGACCATACAACAAATTATTTTGGACGCTAAAAGACTTGCCGGCCGTCTCAAGGAGCGTGAAACGGAAGCTGATGCTTTATTAAACGAGACTCAAACTGCATACCGACAGATCTATACAATCAAACAGGTAACCCTTCGAATACTTCAATTTCTTGGGCTTTTCTATTTTATAACCATTTAATATCAAAATAATGTTTCGGCACAACAAATGAATATATTAATATTTCGCAAAGTGACCCCAGCGTACATTCACGCCTAATTATCTACATATCATTGACTTCAAATTGAAGTCAAAATAATAAGGTTAGAGAAAACTTTCTATATTTATATATATATGTTCTTTCTCATTCGTTGACCTGTTACATTAAATGACTTACAAACAATAAAAGGACTGCATGCATCACAAAAATTTACACTTCTATTTATTTTTTATATCACAATTAGTACAAAGAGGAGGTGGATACACTTAATGAGGCATCCCGAGAGAGACCACGGGGTGAACTTATTGCCAGCATGGAGAGGGAGTCTCGTTTGATGAGGGATGTGCAGAGAGAAAACGGAGAGTTACGTGCCGCTCTGGAAGATCACAGGAAAGCTCTTGAACTCATAATGACAAAGTATCGACAGCACACTGAAAACCGAATATGGGAGTCAAGGATAGACTTCACAGCGGCTATTAATGAAAAGCAACAGGAAGTATGTCCAACATTTTTATCCTTGAAAGTTTTTTAAATACATTTTTCATAATATAATTAATAATGGCAATCATTGTATCTTTATTGACAAGTTTAATAGAATTTCCATATACATATAATGGTTAAGAGTACTACTACCCTTTGATTGATTAAATGCTTAATTTATGTTTATGACCCACAAAACATTTTAAGTATTTAATATTTTAATCTATAATGACAATCCACTTCAAAGTCAATTCCTATTAGGATTATTTCAAATCCAATTAAAAGGTTTCACATACACACTAACAATATTGAGTTTTGTCACTCTTATATACTTTAGTAGTTTATTATAACATTAAAATTATTTTATTATAAAAAATAGGTATTGTTTTTAAAAGATTGTGTAGGTTTTCGGAATTTATTTGGATTGATCTTATTTTTACATATTAACACAGAAAAATAATTTTTTGACATATAGGAAGTAACATTGTTCTAGAATGTACCAATTATTATTTGCACAATATTTATAGTAGACACAACCAATTTATTGGATAATAATTTTTCTAGAACATTGTTGTACCTATTGAACATTTTATTGAAATAGTTTTATTCATAACAAAAACATATCTTTTTTAGTTGATTCGCCAACAGGCAGAGAGAATTAATGAGATGACGAGCATTATGTACAAAGCAATTACTATGGATGAAAATGAAGAGTCCAGGAAAGGGGATGAACTCTACCAAAGACTTATCACAGAAAATAAGGTAATAACAACAAGAAACTGAAGTATTTACAACATTTTTTATGTGATTATATATTTTTTAGTCCAATCATTAATCTTTTAAAGATTTCATAGAAACTTTTTGATTATAATGAATAATTTTAACAGTCTGATGAGTTAAGAGCATCTATTGATACTCTATAGTGAAACATTCTGCATCTATTGATAACCTTTAACTCTTCAATATTTTTAAAGGAACTTTAAATCATTATCTGGTATTACTGATCATTGGTATTTTGTTATTTATTAGTTATACTTGCTCTATTTAGTATAATGTAGATAGGTCATTTTATTATATTAATTTTTGCCACTCAAGCTTGATAGTTGCTACTTAGTACAATACAATATGTATTATGACACAATATATGTAGTTCTTGCCAACTTTTTTACTGACATTTCTTTTGTCGTCAGAATATATTGAAAGACTAAAATTGAATACATCAAAAATTTTAATTATAATTTATATGAAATCAATATAGAACTTTTAATTTAAGCTATTTTTATGGTTACGTGTTATATTATGCCTTTCCAAAGTGATCAAAATCCACAATGACCACCAAAAGTATGCTGTAGAAAGTATTTGATTTATATTAATTTTCATTATAAACAATTAATTGATTGCTTATGTACTTTTAAAAAATACTTTTGCAATTGTAACATAAATAAATTTGTTATGAGTTTGCAAAAATAATGGGGGTAAATGAATGTTTGTTTTGTGAACCATTTTTTAACATAACTTAATATTGGTATTATTTATTGAAATAAACCTAAAGGACATCATTGCCATGTTTTTGATTATAAAGTTTTGAATATTTAATATAAGTTTTGTATAACTTAGTGATTTTGGTTCAACATCATATTGAAGATTCTAAAAAAGATACTTCATGATAGTTAAAATTTCAGTAAATTTGCAGAATAAGTGAAATGATTAATACACAGACAGCAAGATCAAAGCTGCATCTGGATTAGAGCACTATTATGTAATACCTCAAAATTTTTATAATATGTAACTGAATTTAAAATCATAAATGTTGTGAGGTTGTTATAATAAAAAGACTGATTTAATGATTACCTCTTAATCTTAATTTTCAATAATTCACATATACTTCTTTGAATTGCAGGGTTTGCGGGAAATGTTGAATCTGTCTAGACGGTATGGCTCGGACCGTTCATATGGACCTCCTATGGAAGATAAGGATGTGCAGACAGATGGGCCCCCACTATCGGGGGCGTGACGGCTCCCTCAGGCCCCCTAGAGGACGACGTGCAGGGCCCATATGAGCCCCCTTCGCATGTCTCCATAGACTGCAGATTTTTATCTCTTGATTGTGGTGTACCTTTCACATATGTACATATGCCCGGATGTTTGGACGACATTACCTTGTGATGTTTATGCTTGTGAGGATATGAGAATGTTTTAAACTGTATGTATCACATGAAATTGTTTGTTAGATTTGTTAATGCTGTCGTATATTCAAGGTTTGTATTTTGAACGAGCATGTACATTTTTTTTTAATAATTTAGTGATATGCGGCAAATGTTACCTAAATATTTTGCTTATCAATTACCTGTAATTAAATGTTTACGTGATTACGCATTACTTGCTGTCCTTTTCTTTTTATGTATATTATATACATTTTACCATAATACGTGATCAGTGTATTGATATTATTTCTACCAAAATATCATATAAATTGTGCCATTTGATCGTCACTAAATTATTTAAGAATAATCATAGTGACTTGTTCTTTCGCACAGATTATGACACTTCATAACGTATGTGTCTCATAAGCTTTTTCTTTTAAATAATAAGTGAATAATTAATACTTAGTTCAGGCTGCTTGAATATTATTTTAAATTAAATTTGACTGTTAGATGATGTTGTTTATGATGAGTAACATTATTTTTATTAATATTGTTCCTTATTGTAAAAGTCTTTCATATATATTCTGATTATGGATAAGTAATTAAAAAAAATGTCTTGATGGTTTTTAATTGCAATGTGTATTATGGGAATGGATTTGGAAGATTGAAGCGTTTCCTCATTTCACAACGTAGTGGGATATGATAATATGCGATAATTTTATGCGAAGCTTTCGGTGTTAGACATGTTTAGGTAGTTGGGTAGAAATTTCGTGATTTAATCATGCTAAGTCATGCAAGCAATATTATATGGACTCATCGTATAGAGTAAATCTAAGGGGGACGTTCGCACGTTAATAAAAAAACCGTCCTTGGCATTCGCATTGTCTATGGTATTCAGAAGGTTTGTTGTGTCAAATAATATATAAAAAGAAAATATATTATTTAGAAATATTTTTCTGAATTATTAAAAATATTTTCAGAAAAACTTGTACTGCTTGTAATGCAACGTAAGCAAAAACCAGTAACTTTCGTTAAAGTATTTGAAGAGAGAAAAATATTTTCTATTGTATTGACTTAAATTAATTAAAGAAACAAAATTTTCAATGTTTCATTATTTCTCACATCGTTTTGGGACGCACAGCGTGATAGGGCAGGGTTTCCTTGACTGTGTAGTTCTGCTTAAATCAATATTTTAAATTCATTTCTATGTATTTCATCTAAGTAGCAAAAGCTTTCGTTAGCGTTAACTAACGAAGAAAAAGATTAGTAAAATATCCGCCAAAAGAAATAACCTACCTTTACTCTCGGTTAAGTGGTATACCCTAACTTCTGTAGGTATATATGTTCTTGATGGATGAGGTAAACGTAATATAAAACGTAAATTCCTCTATACTAATAAAAAAAAATATTTATAAAAAAATGTCCATATTACTTGGCTATACATAAGCTGAGCTTTGCGTTTGTGTGAGTGCACACGAATAGTGTAGGTGGGATGTCAAATTTTTGAATGTCACGTTCTTTTCTAGGTTTGAACCTGTTTATACTGCTTTTACTCCGCCCCTCACCTTCCGCACTTCACTCTTTGTACTGATAGCAGCGTCAATGTTGAAAACACAATGTAAAGTGAAGAAGAATTTGTATAATTTTTCAAAGTTTTTATTTATTAATCTTTTTTTTCCCATAATATTCATAATATTTCCATCTGGCCTTTTCCAAGTTTTGCTCATTTTATTTTTAATCTAGAATAGCTCCTAGCACTTATGTTATGCATCTATTTAAAATATAATAATATTTTATTGTAAAAGTTTTTTTGTCTAACTCTACTTTTACTTTCACTCACACAAAATACAAATTTTTATGTAAATCGTATTAAGATGTGAAATGTGAATATAGAAACCATTCAAAACCTGCTTTAAAACTTTCGTTAATATTTGACCTTTGACGTCATAAATTGACCTTAATATCAATAAATATGTTATTATTACGATAAAGATTATTTTACAAGTTTTGCTTATTTTATTTGTAAGCTAGAATAGGTCTCGCACTTATGTTATGTATTTTTTTAAAATGTAATTCTAAAATTTTTTTGTCTAACTCTACTTTTTTTACTCATACACATGCAAAGCTCAGCTTAAGTGTAAGGTACTGTTGTTATACTATAGTAACATTGTAATATTCATCTTTTTATTAATTCACATTTTGAACTAAAATACCTTTTAATCATAAAATTCTTACTTTTTTAACAACTCAATAAATTAAAAACCCAAAGTTGTTTAGTTACTTCATATGTTTTAAAATCTGAGATTTAGGTTAAATATATTTGGTGAATGGTAAAAATTCGCAAGCTGTGCTTTGTTATGAAACATTAAAAAAGTTGCATATGCTAATTAATATGATTTAATTCCATTGTGAAAATTAAAATTAACAAGGAAGATGTACCGTCAAATATAAAAGAAATATCTTAATTCTTACAAGATGTTGACAATATTTTTCTTAAGTCAATATTATAATAGATGAACAAGTTTTTTTTATATATTTAGACATACTTTGTATCACCTTTTAGTACGTTTGGACGTTTATGTTGTTTTACATGAGACACAACATATTAATGACATTTATGTAAATACCACAAAAATATTGCATAAAATTTGTGTGGTAATTTTTTCTTAATTAACCGCATATTTTATTTCACATGTATTATAATTTATAACTTTCTATGTGTGGGAATGTACATGTTTTAATTTTTAAAAGTTCAGTCTTAAATCATATATTCATAACTGTTTTATTTTTAACAAAATTTTATTAATTGTTTGAAAGAATGTTTCAGTAAAAAATTAAACTAGAATGGAACTTTGCGTGTAGAAATGTAACATTAATTGTTACGATATAAAAATATTTCCACTGTTGTATGTAATTGTTATTTATGCATAATGTTACAGTTCAAATAAAATTATATTGTTATAAAACCCGAGCATAAAGTCGTTGAATAGGTTTAGTTAGTAAAAATAGTCACGTCGTTAGGCACTTATTTACATGAATTCTTTTGTCTTAATTTTTTCAAAGATAAAATGGAAAAGATTCACCTCAATCTCAAGCTATGCGAGGTCTTAACAAATTTAGTGTAGTGATAAAATTAGGAAAAACTTATATATACATATTTATAGTATATGCTTAACGTATTTATAGTATATGCTTAAACATTTAAAATATGACAATTAGGTTAACACATTTTTACATGAAATGTTTGTTTTAAAATATTTATAGTATAGGATTGTTCAGTGCAGTGGTCACTCCTTGGTAGTAATATTTTGTAATATTAAATACAGGACACAATAAATAGATTATTTAGATACAGTTAATTTTGTATGTCCAAAGACCACAAAGAGAAATAGTATTTACTACATTTATACTCACTTTACAACTGGGAGTAACTTTTAGAAAATATTTAAGATAGATAATATAAAGTTAGTTTTGTGCTGTAGAACTTTTTTTAGTAGGTAGTGCTAAATTTAATAACAATAATGTATCTTGATAAATACACCAATTAAAGACATGGTTATTTATTTTCTTAACCTTTATAGTATATTATTTGCATAAAACATTGGACAATTTAAGTTCTCATGAACTTCATATGCCCTCAGCCCTATTGAGTCCTGAGATAACAATAAAAATATATATGTTGAATGTATATTTTATCAAAAACAATACATTATAATTTATTTCATAATTGTTTTTAAGATTAGTGTATAATATGTAGAGGAAGTAATAAACATTTCTTATTATACCTAATAATGTTACTAACAAAGTTGCATTAATAATATGAGGTGAATAAGAATTAAATAAGACTTGATTTAAATAAAATGTATATTCTGTCTTATCAAACACATACACAATATCACCTACAAATAATGGTGTTACAATCATACTCTGGTTTGAGTGTATTCTGTAGGAAACTTGAATGAATGTAGACCAATAGCCTGGATGTTTGGCAACAGACCGGCATTAGGTATAATATTCCAGGAGAGGGTTAATGTGACATTGTTGTGACCTCTGAAAACAAAGTATTAAATATTAAACTTAACAAACCTTGAGGTGAGTTTATAACAAACTAATATAATTTGTTTGTAAATTTTCTGAGTAAACTATGTTTAAATTTAGAGTGTAATAAATATGAAGAGTGTACATATATTTTTAAATAGTAATTAAAATTGAACACCTATTTCATCCACTAAGTATTCAATTGGTATTAAACAAAATATAACTCTCATACTAACTTCAAACCATTCCCGTCATCCCAGAAATAGTATTTGGTGTTCATATTTTTAAAATCTAATAATGCATTTTCTCCTCTGAGTATGATCTTGTCCCATAGTACAACTTGGTTAAGTTCATTGTTTGGTGTGACATACTCGGCTGTGAGGTACAAGAACAACTGTTTAACATTCCAGTTGAATAGGTTGGATAAATCTGTTTTGAGATCAAATGTTAAGTAACCAAGATCATTTCTTTCCCTTGAAGCACCATAGTCTGGAACATTCTTCCTGAAATTTTACACAAAAATGAGAACATATAAATCTTAGCTCAACTATTATTTAATTCAGGTACAGGATGGTTAATAATACTACAAACTGAATGTCATGACAGTTTTTATAAGGTAAATAGATGTCAAGAAAATCTGTACTGTTTATTTATCTACTCAGTTAAGAAGTGAAAGAATATGCAAATAGAATTTTAGTAGTAAATTTATTAAAACGCTGTAAAATGAACTGACAACGATCTGATGTCCTAAAACTAACTTAACATAATATATGAATGAAACAAGTAGATGAGGACATATTTCAAAGTTTTCTTATGGGGTACGAAATCTTTTTTTTTTTACACAAGTACCCTTCTCTATATGCTAATATGACAATAATAAAATCTTAACTTACACCACAACTTTTACGGTATTCATCTGAGCAGTAGTTCTGTAATCCACTGTTAGAGTGGAAAGAAAACACAAAAATGTAAGACATGCTAGGACACTTAGTGTGTATGTTAATATCGCGTTGACTCTGGTTATAACGGAATACATTTTGTCAAATAATTTTGCTGGTGTGGTCTAAAATTCCACTCCAGTTTATTAAGTTTTTAATTTTATCGTTTTCCACTTTCGGTTCGCGTTACAAGCTGACGTTGACAAGTCGGCAGTCGCTGACATTAAAGACACGTCATACATAATACAATCTAAATGTGCAAATCAATACAGCTTATATAAATGTAAACTCTAAAAACATAGATAAAGGTTGATTATCCTGAGCAAGTTTATTTTTCTGTACGGTCTAATTCTGTTCCTTTGTGAGCCTCAATATTTTTTAGTTTTATCAAATATAGGATGAAACTAAAACAATTTTTTTTTAAATATTATATTGTATGAAGCTGAAAGTAATAACGTTTAATAAGCTCATCTAGAATAATAAAGCTATTCTTAATGTGATGTTTTAAAAATGTATATTATGTTATAGAATAGTATAATAAAAGGTAAAAAATGAAGTACATATATACATTCAACTATATTTTATTGGTTTCGAAAAAAAAGATATTGCTATTTTATATATATTGTGAATTTGAAATTAATGTGGCAAAATAAACAATAGTATTATAATGAAAAATAATGAAACAGGTAAAGTTGTTAATTTAACAGCTGAATTGCAAGGAACTCCTCCTGGTACACTGCGACAGAAACATACACGAGAGCTGTAACTGCCCCTTTGTTCTTCGTAACATCCACTCGTGATAGCCGTGAAGTTAGAATTGATGGCTCTTGTACACATGTATGTTGAATTTTCGACTGAAATGTAAATTTACATCGGAGCAATTCAGCTATCTATTAGACTTAATTTTAATGCTAAAATTAATGGTTTCAATCCGTTATCTTTATTTCTATAGTTTTTTTGCATGAAATATTACCTTGACCGTTAAAGAAATATGTGAATTGTGCACAAACATCGCTTGCAGACAATATGCAGGTTGCATTCTCTCTGTGATGATTCCATATATAATCAACATCGGGCCAGGAGCCATCGTCTAAAACCATTAAGAAAATTTACGTTCATTTTGTTATAAAAATTGAAATTCTTATATACATGCAAGTTTATCGTATATTTTAAACTTACAAGAAGCAACAAGAGGCATTTCACACGGTACCCCATCAGCGAGGCGAGTTGCGTCCTGACAGGTTGCATTCAGAAATATACTCTGATTGTTATAATTTGGCCCTAACCATGTGAAACGATAACATCTTTGTTGGGCTGTTTGTCCAATTACAATACCACCTATAAAACAAGACTATTATTTAAGGTAAAGCTTTATCCTTTTCAACCCCTGTAAGACAACATAGCGAAATTTTGCATGGTTATGGATAAAAATTTTCATAATACTTTAGACTTAAATAATGAAGTCTCTTGTAGGATACCAAAATTTATTAACGGTATTGGTTAAATAGTCAAGCTAATTTAGAAATTCCATTAGGAAAATACAACAACAGATACTTACAGAATATTGCAAAGGTTGCGTAAATTAATAGAAGTTTATACATTGTAATAATATTCGTCAAGTTGTTTATAAAATAGCTTTGTTTTTTAAAGACACCCACACTAAACAATCCAATAAATATTTTCAAATAGATTACGACTAATAAAATTTCACATATAGGTCTTATCGTGCTTATAATTTAAAGATATTGCGATTGCTGATAGAAATGATTTTACTGTTTGATATTATGTTATCTTACAATCACTTACTAGGTATGATTAATCAGTGATATGTGATTGTTAATAAAGTCATACAAATAGTTTCACAAATAAATCAATACAATGACAACGCATTCACTATATAAATATTATTATCTGTATATAATTACTAGTAAACCTCGTTAACTCCGTTTCGTCACCAGATAGCTTCGTTTTATGTAACACTAGCTTTTGCCGCGACTTCGTCTGCGTGGAATAGTGACTTCCGGCAGATTTTTGGTTATTCCCACATAGTTCCCGTTCTTGCGGGGTTTTCGGAATGGTCGAGTTCCCGTAGAATTTTCAGGATAAAACCTATGTTTTTTTTATTCACAATGAAGTACTCTTAACCAACAACATATTTATTTGTTTATTTGAATAAAAATTAATATTATTATGTTGATACAACTTAAACAAATTATTTCGACCAAATTAGGTACCATAAAAACGGTTTTTGTGAGTTAATCTTAAAAGGTAGACATATACTGTCGCGGACTGTTTTTTAGATCATTAAAAGAGCTATTATATTTTAACACATATTTTTTGTGTATCTTGAACCGTTTTCACGGCGCACGCAACGGAAGGCTTCAAAGATGAAATAATTTCTCCCGTTTTTTACACATTTACCACTATATCTTTGCTACTATTGGTCGCAGCGTGATTTTATATAGCCCACAGCCTTCCTCGATAACTGGACTATCCCACACAAAAAGAATTATTCAATTCGAACTCCGAAATCTCCGAAACTACTGGTACTGGTAAAACAAAGCTTCAGTAGTACTTAAATAAACGTTTTCTTCACGTGTATATTTTTCAGAGAAATGTCGACAATAACCGTGACTACTAAAAATTGATATTCGTTTTACTGCATTTTTCAGTAGAATAAAAATAGTAAATTAAACTTATCTTTTACTGTTCTATTATTATTTTTCGTTCAACAATTTTACTTCATCATCATTATTATCACCACTATAACCTTCACTATCATGATGTGTCCTTAACTGAATCCTGTTTTATTAAATCATTGTTGCAAAAGAAATAAAACCGTAAATTGAGGTTACAAATTAATTGAACCCAGAGGGAATGAAAAATTATAAAATTTTACTGAAAACATTAGTGAATTGGTTTTAAAAAAAGTATTTGTTCAATAATATGTATTTAATTATATATATACTGGAGCCCGTGTTCGAAGTCGAGGTCAATAAAATTAAGATTGCATACTTGATTAAGACAATCATTGTGTGTTGTCCTCTCTTGTTCACTCGTATTTTTTAGTTTTTTTTTAATTAGAAAATTAGTTACATTATTTTTTTAAATATATTGTTAACATCCCCTACACTTACTATATAGGTACTAAACTATACTTAAATACTGTATGTGAAAATGTTCAAAAACACCGTATATATTCTTTAAAACTTTTGAAAATATAAAAGCAAGTTGTGAATTTCCCACAATGGCCAGCGAATATTCCGTTGAAAATTATTTCCTATTTCTTCGATAAGCCGATTTTGTCTAACTTCGTTGAATCATCAGGCATCGAAACCACGAGATTAATTAACCCATTTGTGGATGGGGACTTAAAATTCCAATTTAACAATAGCTCTTTTGTTAGATTTTTTATACTACTAAGCTGATCTATCTAACTTTATTTAAAAATAAAAAGTCTTTGTTTGTTAAAGCTTTCCTAAGGTTGCTATATGTACTTATATCAAAATATTGAGAGATGAAAGTAAACATAAAATTTCTGTTATGGCTCGATTTATCCGAGTATTCAATACGAAATCCCAAGAGAACAAAAACAATACCAGAATACTTGGATTAACATAATATTACTTTATTCTAGTAGAATGCGAAGTGTTTAGATTGAGTATTTCGATATTCCTGGCGGGATTCTTTTTGTCGATCATATCGATATGAATTTCTGAGCTACCTTTTACGAGGTTAGCTTCGCTTTCAGATATGAGGAATTTGGTTCAGATTTTTTTAGAAATATCGATATATTTTAAGGAAGTGGAGTGTTTTAAAAGTTAAAAGACACACTTCTGCTTAATATTTATTAAAATTCTCCACATATCGAATAGGATTTTTTTTTAATTATTTTCGTCTTTAAGTTTGATAAATAATTCCATAAATATAACACTGATTTTCAAATAAAATTTGTAATTGCATATAATATGTACTTGTTATAAAACCGAAAAAAGTATTTTTGACGAAGATTTAAAAATTAATTAATTGAAAGTGGCAATTCAAATATTGACTTTAATAGACATTACATAGGAAAGTAAATATTATATCCGTCAGCATTACCAACACTTCTAGAAATCTTAAATTGCTTGATCAATTTAATTTGCTTCAGAACAACCAATCGTACTAACAAATTTCAGAACCGAATTCTGCAAATAATTGTCAGTACCTATGTATTGTGCATTTCGCATTGGCTTTCCGTCAATTCATGCAACCTGTCACCTGCAGACAATGGCACTGACAGCAACGCTAACGACACTCGCCATGCAGTGGCTGTCAATATATATGATGTGGGAAATATGTGCTTTGTTTGTGAAAAAGTTATATTCGATTTAATTTTCTTTTGAGTATTTGAAAGGAATGCATGGGTTTTATTGATAGTATTTTTATATTATTTTTATTACAAACTGTTTTTCATATAATTTTAAACAAAAAAAAAAGTTTATTTAGAAATCAATTTATTAAAGCAATTTACATAGTACAAAAATCGATCATCTTATCTACAATATTGTAGATTCGTCTTATATAAATTTATTTAATGAGTATTTATTTACAAGGTAACATAAATTACAATTATTTACAAATTATAGTCTAGTAATAATTTTGAGTATATGTCTTATTAGCCATATAATACGGTACTTTAATAAAAGAATTTAGACAAGAAATATAACTTAGTCTTATTTGTTTTCTACCTAATAAAATAAAAATTCACTGTAACACATTAGCCACACTCGCGATAAAGTTTTTAACAATGATTCACTCACAAAATTTTAAATATTTCAGTACTTTAAAGCACTATCACTGTTAACAGTTCGTCACAATAAGTCCTGGCTTGCGTTTAATTTAATTTAGCCGACGTAAGGGAAAGGTGCAAAAGGTGCTGGAAAATATCCCGGGAAACCGATGCTCGGTTGAACGAGCACAGACGATGTTACATAAGACGTCAACACAGTTGGCACAACTTTAGTTGTGAACAATGTCGTATATACCGTCTTGCCACCAAACGTCAGTTTCAGAACTTGACTATTCGTCGCGACAACTTCTGTGTTTAAAACAACTGGCGTTGAAGTTACTGTGAACTGCTGTTGTTGGGGATAAAGCGGATTAATAGGCAGGGCTGGCAAGCTGCTAGTACCAATTTCGTATTCTGTTTTAGTTACTGTGCTGACGGGCCGAGATATTGTGCTTTGAACGCTACTTTTGCCATTAAAAATGGGTACTACAAAAGATTCGTACACTGTCTCATATGTCAGAATCGGTTTTGAAGTTGTAACCACAGTAGGAATTTGTGCGGCGGCTGCTGGGTTAAGAAGTCTAAGCAGGGCTAACTGTTGAGCTTGTTCAGGAGACAATGCTGCGGTTGAAGGATTCGGTGTCTCCGTCACTTGATTTCCTTTACTTTGACCGTGAGCTTTCTTCAATCTCAAATGATTATCTCTGTATTTGTCAATTTCGGTAAGATCAAAGTTTGATCCGATGTTGGCTAAATCCAAGTCTGGGGGGAAGACGCGACGAGGTACACCATCTTCGTCTTCATTACTGTCACCAAAATCTAATTCTAAATGAAGTTCTGAACCAGCTTCGTCCAACTTGCTGTTAAATTCTTTAAGTGTTTTGCTTGGAATAAATTGGAAGAAGTCCATTGGTGGCAATGTTTTTGTAGCAGTTACAAATCTTGTGACTTGATAGGTTTGTATAAAGGTAAGGCTGCTGGTAAGATTAGCATCACGTACTATTGGCAAAATATGAGTTTTAAGCATGTTTTGAGTGGTACTAAATGTTTCAGTAACAGTTTCTAAAGGTGGAGTTTCTACATCTGATGAGAGTGTTATTGCTGGTAGTGTAGCTATACTGGAATCTAAAAGATAGTGATCTTTGCCATAAGGAGAGGCAGTTGCTAAAATATTTTCTGTTAGGGGTTCGTTGAGAGTACTTTGAGAATTAATAATAAATGTTGGTTCAATTTTCTTTTCAATAGTCGATGTCACTGTAATAATACGTGTATTTTTTACTCGGCCAACCTGAAACGTTATGAAAAGTTTAAAATAGTAAGCATAAACATCTAGAATCACAATTATATCTCTAAGGATTTTACCTGAAAAACATATGGCGATTTAAGAGTAGCAATTTCGTAATAAACATCTTTAAAGTCAGCTGGAGTTGATATTTCCACTTTGAGAGTTTCGACTGGTGGTGGTTTCTCAATGGAATTATCCTCAGAATCATTATCAGCTAAAGTACCTGGGCCATTTTGAGAACTTGAGAGCTCTAAATCGTTATCAGATCGTGCTTGTGGCGAAACATCGTTCGTTTGATTATCGTCGACTAAAGGATTTGTGCTCGGTGTGGTTGGTTGTTCGTCATCTCCGGTAATTTTTCTAATTGTTACTTTAGGTTTAGGACTTGTTTTGTATTGCCAGCGACCAGAACCTGGTGACCTATTTAATTTAAACTTATGTATACTAGATGTTGCGGGAGTCACTTGTTCTACTGGTGATGGTTGAACGCGATTTTTAAATCCACGTTTTTCACCGTTGCTTGAAGGAGTTACAGTGGTTTTTTGACCAGAACTACGATTATTTTTCCTTCTATTAGAGTACGATGGGGATGAAGTTGAAGGTTCACTGAAAACAGATACGGTAGCCAGTTGAGGCGAGTTTGGTAGTCGACGAAATCGTGTACTGAAATGTGCAAATGTAATAATACTCGTGAGAATGGAATCTTTAAGTGTATAGTTATAAAAAAAGTATTATATTTGTAGAATTAATTTTAAAAAATAGCTGAATACGTAAGCCTATTTTTTTAATACTAACCTTTGTGATCGTTGAGAATTAGAAGAATTTCTGTTCTTAAACTTTTTGCTTTGACTTGGTTGCGACAGTTCAACGTTATCGTTTTCATTATTTTGAGATCGATGCCGATTTTTAAAAGAATTTCCGTTACCCGTTTGTCTTCGCGTAGTTTTGCTAAAACTACTATCTTCATCGCTTATAGAAGGCGTTGGCTCCAAATGTCTATGATTCTTTGTAGCACCGGGTGCAGCTGTCTTAACAATTCTATGTGTAGGACTTGGAGATATTTTACCTTTGTTACCAGGCGATAATATTTTTGAGTTACTGTTTAATACCTGGGCATACTTTCCAGATATATAGGTACCTATCACGCTTGTTTCATGAACAGTTGTAAGACCATCCTTAACAATTGTTCCCCCTAGAGTGGTAACAAGACCTAGAGGACGATCGTCATCATCAGGAGGAGGCGTTGGGTGATGCCTATTTTTCGGACCTGATTTCGGCTTAGGGGAGTGAGCTTTTGATGGACGTATATTGATTACTCTGTAAGTTTCCTCTACAAACTCTGACGGTTGACGAGAAAGATAGTCATATTCAGGTTCACCAATGTTATTAGAAACTAAAATTGCCGGTTCTTCTGGTGGACTGTTTTTATTGTTTACAACGCTGACTTTGGAGCTGATAATGGAGGATGGGGAAATATTTTGTTTAACTTCTACTTTGCTGCTTACAATATTTGTAACACTCTTTACAGTTTGTTTTTTATTTGATTGTTGTTTATTTTGTTGTGATTGTTGTTTATTAGACTTAGAAGGCTGCGGTTTAGCGGAATTATTTTCTACAATTTTAGAAGGCCCAGCAAAGACTTCAACTTTGGTTATGACATTTTTTACCTCTTTTGCTGTCGATTTTGGTACATTTAGATTTTTTTCGTCTTTTTTTGGTGGAGATGTCACCACTGATATCGCACTGGATGCAATAATAGGTATACCAGCTTTGTTGGTTTTGTCTTTGTCCGTCGTTTTGCTTGGTTTTATCGCTTCTGGCCTTACATTATTAATTGGTGGTGGTTTCGTTTCGATGATATTTTCTTGCACTGACTTTTCGGTCGCCGGAGGTTCTAAACAAAAAAAAAAGGTATATTTGTATTATTTTGTTTTAAAACAGGTAAATGTACCAAATATGTTGAACGTATCTATTTTACTAGTAAAATAATGACCTGGTGGTGGAGCAGATTGTGGAGAGAAAACCATAACTGTGTTGCCTATCGTTGTCGTGAAGTCAAGGAATCCATATACAGTCTGCGTTATGAAATTCCCAGCGGGAGCTGCGACTGCTTTCTGACCGCCATTGTAAATTTGAGAAGATGTGAGGCCTGTAAAATAATTTCAATGCTTTTTGGTCACAGAAAGTTAAATAATAGTGTGTGTAATGTCCTCTGAGGAAAAACATGTAGATTTTACAAATTAAAATTCGATTTGGTTTTAACATAATATAAGAATATTTTAAAATATATCAAGTTTTATAGCGTTCAAATTCACTGACCATATAAAAAATATTATCAGCACTGAACACATTATATGTCGCGTGAAATAAAGCAAAAACTCTTAACTTCGAGAGGAGTTATCCGAGAGGATTCAAGGTGATATAGAGATAAAGAGAAAGTCATTGAATGTGTTACTTCAATATCATTGATCGGTAAATGGTGTGTGCTAGTAGGTAGACGGGATTCGTTACACTGAAAGTTATAGTCTTCCATGATATGAGTGGATCTGAATAAATGATATGTTATGAGCGTTAAAGATGATTATATCTTCTTTCTTCTTAACCACTGATATTTCTTAATTTTATTTTCATTTCATGCATTCACTATAAGTAATATGTTTAATTTTGGGTTGTTGATTACGGTCAATTTATTAAAATTAGTGTATTTTGGGAAGATTAATTAAATAAAATCTCAAGCTTTTGTCCTTTACGTGTATATATTTTTATCCATTATTCTAACTTTTTGTGTTTAATATAAAATTGTAATCAATCATATCGTCTGGCAGGTTCTTGGTATAACAACAAAGATAAGTTATTTATAGGCTTGATATTTCAAATACAAAGAAGATGAATTTAGATTGTGAGAAATATCAAAATATTTAATATAATTATTTGACATTTATTTATTATTTTATCTAAGTAATACTATTCGAACTTTGTCTTATGAAAAAAAGACGGTTGGAAACCTTAAGCCTAAAGTCTATATGACCCGTTTACAAATAGGAATATACATATGTTGAATTTTTTAGTAAAGTGGGTAAAGAAAATTCTGAAAGGTCGTGCCGCTATATTCTTGTTACTTTCGGGCCGTTTACTCGCAAGTGGGCTGAGATAGTCTACGTAAGTAACGGGATAGGTTTTTTAAATACACACATTCCAATTATTTAGAATAATAAAGTTGTTATTTTTAATTATGTTTCATTCTGTTTCTTTTCTTTTTATTCGCCAGTTGATTACTGCATATATGACAGAAAATATTATTCGGACCCTTTTTTGGTCGTGTTTACGACAATGTTATTTAATAATCTCTAAAAATCTACTTAGTTCGAGCGATTCAACGTCTACTTCGTCTCTTTTGTTATCTTTAATAAAAAATAGTGCCCATACATTTTTGTAGAGTGAGATAAGAGAAAGCATCTGTTATTTATGAATAACTCAGTATTTTTTGTTCGCTTTTTATAAAAAGAGTCTTTGTAAAGATTTTGAATATTTGAACATTGAAAGTTCTAAAAGTGAATTTAAATGTTATATGCATATTCCTTAGCATGCAGACTGTTTATGTTTGTTAAAATATTATTTTGAATGAGAAAAATATTTTAATAGATACTTACAAAATTGCGCCGATATCACGAAAATTAAGTATATCCGATTGTCCATGTTGTCTCTATGTATTGAATAATATCATGCAAAGTTGATGCAGCACGGGAGCATTTTGAGGTCATAAAATTCTGTAAAAGAAAAAAATATATATATAATTAGCACAAGTAACTATTCATTTATTTATGTTGAATAAGTTGACATGCATGAATAAATAATTACAGTATTCCAAAGTAACTGACAAATTAATTTAAAAAAACATTTATTCAGTAATATCCCCTATCGAAAATGAACACCATTCTGTTCACAATGAACAACGCATGGGCGAACAAAATAATCAGTGAAAATGCAGCCGCCATACTCATTACAGGACCATTTCATTACATGAACCAATATTGCTTTATGTACATCATTTGGAAGATAATTTCGTTTTGAATGATCTTGAGAATATATTATATATACAACGCTACGTGGATTTAGTGTAGGCGATGTATTCATACTCGCCAACCTTCTTTCCATTGAAATAATTCATCCTATTACATATTTATGATTACTAAGAATTTTATTAATATTTTCTGAGATTTTATTATTTGAGAACTTTGGGATATATATATATATATATATATATATATATATAAACCACACAGTTATATATATAAAATGGATAGGTTAAAGGGTTGGTAAGTCCTCAAATTTTATTTACTGATCAATATAAATAACAGACAAAAATAGTACTGGAAACTAGGAAGAGTTAGGAATTAATAAAAAAAAACTCATATAATGTCACAATACGTCAATAAATAAGTAATTATGTATATTTCGTATTGAAACAAAGATGTTATGTTTATTTATGTAAAATAAGAGACGTATATAACATAATAAATATATGATTATTATCAATATTTAAAGGAATGCTTCCTTGAAAAAATAAGTCAGCAGTATTTTGAGAGATTCTTGGGCCATTGGATGATTTTCTGGCCACTGTGAAAGATGTTGATGAAAACCAGTGCCATGTTAAGAAAAGAATAAGCAAAATTTACACTATGAACGAAGATTCAAGCCAGGATTTTAACGAGTAATTGATTTTAAGATTTCAAATACGAAGAGAAAATGGATCGCTTAAGATGGAAAATATCAGACAAAGGCTTCTACATAGATTGTCTACTTTCTCAGATGTCAATTTAAGCTAAGAACGAAACTAAAATATAGTAATTTGAAGACGGTTTAAAATGCAAGAATTTAAAATAGGATCCAATTTAGAAAGATTACAGTAATAACGATTTTTTTACTTTACGTATATTTTTTAGAATACATTAAAAAAATTAAATTATTGAAAAAAAAATCAAAAACGATGAATTAAGTTACAAAGGTTAAATCATTGATAGCAACATAGTATATATATATATATAATTTGAAAAGACAGCCCTTACATGAATTACTGAAAGAGAAATGTTTATGTATTTTATATGGTTTTTCTAAATAAAGATAATGTTATACAAAAAACAAAATATCCTACTCAATAAAAACAGATTTCTCCCATGGAAGTATTCATATGTACCCTTTTATTTTCACATAGAAAACAATTACTGAAGTTAAATATATAAATTTTATAACGATACAACTAAAGTTCTCACTTATACTTAATTTAATAAATAAATTCAGATTATATCTATATGGAATGTTCAAACATACAAAAAAAAAAGTAAAGCTAAGTCACTGTAGCCGAAAACGGCTGGGTAGACATATACAGGGTGACTGGTGAATTACTATCAATATTTAAGGAGAATACTCGGTACATGATTCTCATTCGAATTATGTAAAAAAAATAGGCACTTAATTTTTGACAAAATTTCCGTATAAGTAAAGTGTTGACACGTTCCAAGTGTTCAAAGTGTGTATATGTATATACATACATAGATATAATATTTATCATTTGTAAAGGTCTATCAAATGGTGCCTGTTCTTCTTTATTTTTTCACTGTCATAAATTATAAATAATTGGTATATATATTTAATTGTATAATAGAATAGAATTACGTTTTTCGTATTCTACTTCAAATTAAAAAACAATTAGAGCCATTTATTCATTAATTGGTTGGAAGTTTCATTTGGCTATTCAAATTAATTATTAATTAAATGACGAGTAATTTTATGTTTAATTTTTATCTTACTAAAATTATAACGGCAAAGGTTTATTAAAGCATGAATATTTGGATCAATTTTACTGTCACAAAAAAGGTTTAAAATTTTATGAAACTTTTCAATAATTAAGGTTGTTTTATGAAAATAACAATTACTTTTCCATATTTACTTGATTGAGCCATGTGACTCTTTTTGTTGCTGTAGCCATTCAGATTGCCTATATATTATAAATTTTAGGGTAAATATCAGTTTATATATTCAGATCTTAAATCTGTAATAAGCTACTTCTGACTGTTCACGTTGAATATCTCTTAGAGTATCTTTTAAAAAGACTATCTTTTAGAATTAAAATAGCAGAAGTGTCCCAAAAATAAACCTTAACGATAGTACAAATATAATTTTTAAAATACCAATGACCATTCGTGCTTTAAAATTAATTAATTATTGGCCAATTTCAAACAATGCTTAGATAAATGGAAGTATATAATGAACTGCTTGATTTTTAAATTAATTATAATGATTTTAACAGACAGATATAATCGAAAAATATATTTTGCTGTTAACTTAATTGCAGGAAAAAGTAATCAACTGTTTGTTCTTCCTGCCAACAGGTTGGCAATTATGAGTACATTAATCGGAACAATAATTGATGTAGTAACAGAGGAAAAATAAATTTAAGACACGACAACAACAACAGAAAACATAGACTTTAAATATTTAATTTAAAATAACTTAATAGTGATTGACGTATGTAAGAATTTCATAATAGAATTCATAGATTAATCTCTTCGGTAATTAAGATCTGGATTTGGTCAAAACATTAAGGTTGCATTCTATAAATAGTACAATAAATTCATAAATTAAACCTACACGGTAACGAAGGTATATCCCGTAGGCATTCAACAGTAATAAGGTCTGGAATAGCATTTGCCTCTTCGCAGACATGCCAGTTGCTTATGGAACGTTAGTGTAGAGGCATCCAAGCCGAATTCCCGCGTAAATTGGCAGCCATTGTGCACAGTCAAGTCAGCATAGCGAGGATATTGAAAGCATTTGAATGCTTCGTAAGTTTCGATTGCAGACGCATGGGAACACATTGTATGTATGTACATGGCTTTTGTACTGTCCTTGCTGGCATTTTGTATAAATTAATGGAAAGTGTGCTTTGTAATAGAATACTGGTAAAAATAAACCCTAGAATTGTATTGGTCCAGTTAAGTTAAAATAGAACTGGAGTCTGACTAAAACTAATTTCTTAATGTTTGGAAATGGAAATGTTTCGTACATAGGGGCGGGAGAGCAATCTTATAAATGCGGGCTGCCATTTTGTGGTCACAGCTAAATATCGAAGCACGGGATTGAGTTATTATTCGGCTTAGCTATTGACTAAATGAATGCATTTCAAACTAATTAATTTGGATAATCAATAAAGAAAACAGGCATTATTTGCGCTATTGTAAAATCTTGGTATTGAACTATAAACTAACTTTACACAAACAATTAAGGTAGAAAAGCTAATGAATACAAATGAAAAGCTTATCAAACAGACAACCACAGATCTGTAATAGATGTGAGAAGTGGCATGAAATTACTTTTAGATATAGAAATGAAAGTGTCCAAAAACTGGGCATGCCTAACGTTTAGTCGCGACTCATCTCTGACACTGATAATGTATGGGTTACTTTTACTTGTTTGAGTGTGTAAATGAGTGGATGTTTGTGTGTGTGAATGAGTGTGAGTGTGTGCATGCGTGTGTATGAATGTATACATCGTGTAGTGTTTACTCGCGAGATGGGAGCGGTGATGTTTGTGGCGGCTACCTGTCTGGAACCATTCACTGGATGCATACGTTATAAATGTACAGATAGCAAAACAATAGATATCGTAATGACAACAAGAAGAACAGTTATATAAATTATATCTTGTCTGTGAAGATATTAAAAGCAATAAAATTATAGTTCAGGAATATTTCAGATTTTTAATAAATATAACAATCATCGTCATTAAATTAATTAATATGATCCAAAATATAAATCTTAATCACATTTTTGTTTGCTTCTTATAAACTTTAGAATGTTGGTATAAAATAGAAATTGATGCTGATTACATAAATATTTTTGGAGTAAAATATAACTTGTATCGTATAAGGAGATCGTTTACGATACTAATTTTATTATATTTTTTTTATTTAATAATATATGAGGACCCTAACAAACAATACTTAAAAAAAAAATATTCTTTTTTATCTTTAGTCTAACAGAATACAAATGAATCTGTTCTGCTAACGTTACAAGTAACATCTGACCAGCTAGATGCCGGTTCATCTGCCTATTCAAACAAAATTTAATGAGGCGTGCGTCTATAGGAATGCGAGCCTTTAGAGATTCTACTGGATCAATCCAGCGTCAACGCTACATTGTGCTTTGATCCCTTCATATTTTATACACCGAAAGTCTACTTCATCGAGTTAAGAATATCTAGAACAATTTATATTATGTTCTGATTAAAATGAAAATATTTTATTTTCGTATATTCATTTAAATAATTGGATTTCAATACGAAAGCCCACAATTCAATCTACTTGAATTACTCAAAAGCATGAAAGGATTTCGTCTGATATTAAATATTTATTTACGTGACAACTGATATCCTTAATAATGTTCAAAATTACGAAGCTCCAGTATAAAACATAAAGCAGCATTTTTATGGATTCTTATCATATAATAGGGATTTAAAGAAGGATTTCACAGAATGTTTTATGAGAATCTATTCAATACGAAAAGCGTAAGCCTCTTTTGCAGATTTTTCAGACATCTTATAAAGGCTTTAATCCGCGCCTCGGAAATGTGAAGATGCGACAATACATCACAACTTCAGCTGTATATATGTAGTATTGTGTACGTCTAAATGAAACAACT